CCGAGGGGGAGGCGAAAAACAGCAGGACTACCACTCGTTGGTGTGCTATAACAGGACTATTTCTTTCGCGTGTCTCCACCACACGAAAGGCTCCTCCGCAATCGAACCAATTGGTTTAGAGGTGGATCTGCATTGACACAATATAGGCCCTGTCTGCCCTCCGAGCTTCTTGCAATGGGGCGTTCGAGTCTTAGTCTTTCCACCAAGCGACTGACGGCTCACCGATTCGAGCAACTACATGACATGCCGGACCATGGCAATGGGATGTTGAATCCCAACGACGTGACCATTGATATCCCGCTCACGGAGACGACTTCCCGAGGCCAAACGGGCGCCCGGAAATGGAACACCAATACCAGCCCCCAGGACGGTGCCTCGCAGACCACCGAGAAGGCACCTATCGTTGGTCACCATCATCGGGGTCCTGGCGGCAGGCGTCGCACGGATACAGATATCAATGAATTGTCTGGAAAGCCTGCTGAGTCGCCCGAGGACGGTACCATCAACCGTATGGGCCGTTTCTACCAAGCTGTCCTGAATTACTCCCTCATCACTCGTTACTTGATTTATGTTATTCCCCTTGCGATTTTGATCGCGATTCCAATGATCGTTGGCGCTACCGTCGCGACGAACGCGAAAATTGGTGGTGTCCATCTCTACTGGTTCTTTACTTGGATTGAGATCGTCTGGGTCAGTCTGTGGGCGGCCAAAATATTCGCCCGTTACATTCCTTATTTCTTCCAGTTCTTGTGCGGTATCGTCAGCTCGGGCACCCGTAAGTATGCGCTTATTCTGCGTGCCCTCGAGACCCCCATTGCGCTTTTGATTTGGGCTATTATTTCCCTCGTGACCTTCCTGCCTGTTATGACCTTGAATCCTGGAAAGCAAGAGTCCGGCGACACGGGTGTCAAGGCCTGGGAAAAGACCATCAAGAATATTTTATTTGCGCTGCTCCTCTGTAGCATGATCTACTTGGCCGAGAAGGCCCTTGTGCAACTCATCTCGATCAGTTACCACCGCAAGCAGTTCGACGCCAAGATCCAGGTCTCCAAGCGCAATGTGCATTTGGTCTCCCTCCTCTTCGAGGCTTCACGCAATATGTTCCCCGTGTACTGTCCTGAATTCAAAGAGGAGGACTCGCTCATTTTTGACTCCATCCTGGCTCAAGCTGGCACCAATGGTGGCAAGCGGTCATCCGCTATGCCCCTCCGCATGCTCCGTCATGTCGGCAAGAACGTCGGTCGTGTTGGCGACAAAGTCACCGCCGCTTTTGGGCATGTCGCGTCGGAGCTTACTGGCAAGCAAGTGTTTAACCCGACTTCGACGCACACTATGGTTATCGAGGCCCTTGAACGCAAGCGCCACGCTGCTGCGCTGGCCCGTCGTATTTGGATGTCGTTCGTTGTCGAGGGCCGTGAGTCTTTGTTCATTGATGACATCGTTGAGGTCCTAGGTGCTGAGCACGAGGCTGAGGCCGAGGAGTGCTTCATGGCTCTTGACAGGGATGGCAACGGTGATATCAGTCTTGACGAGATGGTCCTGACCATCACTGAGTTTGGACGCATGAGAAAAGCCCTGAACCACAGCATGCACGATGTCGATCAGGCTATCCGTGTGCTGGACAACCTGCTCATGTGCGTCGCTGGTCTTGTTGGTGTTCTTGTCTTTATTTCTTTCGTTACCACTGGATTCAGTACTGTAATTGCAGCCGGTGCCACCTCGCTACTCTCCCTCAGTTTCGTCTTCTCCGTTACCGCTCAAGAAGTCCTCGGTTCCTGCATCTTCCTCTTCGTCAAGCATCCCTTCGATATCGGCGACCGTGTCGAGGTCAGCGACATACCCTTCGTCGTTGAGCGTATCTCGCTTCTTTTCACTGTTTTCCGCAATGTCAAAGATTCCCGCATCACGCAGGTGCCTAACAATATTCTAAACAGTCTCTGGGTTGATAACTTCACTCGCGCTAATGCTATGCATGAACAGCTTGTCATCCCCGTAGCCTTCGACACGAGCTTCGCTGAGGTTCAGTTGCTGCGTGAGGAGATGGAGCACTTCGTTCGCGACAAGGAAAACAACCGTGACTTCCAGCCGGATATTGACATCGAGCTTGACGGCGTTGGTGATATGGACAAGCTCCAGCTGCGCGTTGACATTCGTCACAAGTCTAACTGGTCTAACGAGACTATTCGCGCTGCCCGACGATCCAAGTTCCTGTGTGCTTTGGTCCTAGCTGTCCGCAAGATCCAGGTTCGCGGTCCAGGTGTTGCCCTTCCTGAAGAAGAAACTGCCGACGCCGCAGCTGGGGATGACAAGGGTGATGATGCCGGCGGCGGTGCAGGCGCAGGTCGCCGCAAGTCTACCCAAGGCGGCGGTGCCGACTCCTCCAATCCCGACCCTGGTGTCGCCGCTGCGGCCGCGGGTATCCTCAACTCCGAGAACACAGCCCAATCGACCGGATACGACCAGGCCCGTTCAGGAACAATCACCTACCGCGGCTCAACTCATACCAACGCCGAGCGCGAAGCCGCCATCGTCGAACTACTCAACGCCCGCTCCCCAACCGTCGACACCGGCCGCGACCACTACGACAATCACGAGAACGCCCTCCATCGCACTGCCACCAACGCCTCCAATCAAGGCAGCCAGCTAAACGTGCACACCGGAAGCGAACGCCTCAGCCGCGGCCTGTCAACTGGCCATCGCAAGCTCGGCGATCACGTCTCCTACAACGAGCACGATGCGCCCAGAAACGCCCCTCTCCCCAGTCCCCGCCGGCATGACCCCATCCTCAAGCCAAGTGCCCATCCTCGAGACCCCCAAGCCAGGCTCCCGTCACAGCGCCCGCTACGAGCCCCGTCCTCACTCAGGCCAGGACCAAACCCAGAGCACCGTCCAGATGGTGGGCTCACCAGATCCTAACCCCTTCAACGGCGGTTACTACTCCCACGACACGGGGTACAATCAGATTCCGGTTGGCGGTTACAGCGTTGAGAACACACCGGCACGCGAGCGTGGCGATTCGAATCCCGATATCTCCGGCGTGACCGCGTCCAGCAATTACCAGCTCTCGGATCGATATGACCCCGTCTCTCCGCCGTCTATCCACTCCCCGCCCATCTACTCCCCGTCCCAACCGTCACTCGCACAGCAGACTGCGGCCTACAATACCGCTCCGCTGAGGAAGAAGGATAAGTCTCCATATGGGGAGCATGAGACTTGATTGTATTCTACTTGTTTTTTGTATCACTGACCCTTTCTTGATTACCCATTCTTGGCTAGCTACTTTTTCTTCTTCTTTCTTCTTGGTTTGTTCATATTACGTGTATGATGTCGATAGATTCTTTTCTCTACGTTTTTGAGCCGCATAAAAGTTTACGTCCTTTGTGGTGTGCGGCTATGAAGCTATGCTATTCTTGATTTTGGGGGTTTAAAATCAAATCTACTTCTATTTTTTCAAGACCATTATATTACCTTGTTTACTATTTGACTATGGTATCTAGATTTCTCTCACTAATAATAGAGATAATAGGTAAATGATATGGGGACAGAAAGGTACTGAACCTGAGACATATCTGATAGGTGAGGTATATGCTTCATATTTTAAAAGAAATCTGCGATTTTATTTAATATTCCCAGAGAAACCTACCTGGACATGATAGAAGCACTCTAATGAAATACCGAGTAGAGAAACAGATAATATTCCCATAATCCAACACATATCCAACACTGGTTTCTATAATACAAGTCTGACAGAGTCCAGGTAAAAGCCTAGCTAAGCCATCCAACTCTCCTAGCAGCCCTATTTCCCTCCACTCTCCTTCCACGGATATCCAACGGGATCATCCTTCCGCGTCCAGATCTTAGTCTTTCTCTTATTAACCACATGCTCAACAAACACCTCACGCGTGTACTTGGCCTTGTACTTTCGGATCCAGCGCGGGTCCCAAAGTTCACTCGCAATGCCTAGATCCTTGCAGCAGCGTACGAGCGCGTTCGACCGACAGCCTTCTGTAGCGGTGGGGATACCGTCTGGGGAGAAGTAGTCCTGTTCGCCGCGGGCGACGGAGACGAGACTGGAAAGAGAAGTGTGTTAGCTAAGTGTTCCCCCCCTCTTGTTCTGGTTCCATGGTAGGGAATTTTGCAAGATTGTAAAATAAGTCAGAAAAAATGCAAAGCTTACCGTCCGTTACAAACAAGAGCATACTCCCTCGTCACCGTCTTTGGCGTAACGATACTCTCACTCCGCGGCACAAGACCCCACCCACCGGGCCCGAAAGCGCGGTTGAGAATTCGTCGGTATTTGATCTCCGGTAGGTAAAGGATTCCATCGGGCTTGATTTCGACCTCGTCAGGCTCCGTCTCCGCGAGCAGGATATCGGCCGCTTCTTTGGAGAATGGCTCAGCAGATAGACCGTGGAAGGAGCGCGTCCAGTCAATTCTATCTTCGGTTGGGCGCTCGAGCTCTAGGGGTTTGTCTGATAGGCCGCTTTTGGAGATGTTTTCGGTTGTCGCGCGGCTGGGGGTTGGGCCTGGGACGCGGGATGCGGGGACGCCTGTTGGGATAGGCGTTGAAACTGAGGGGGTGGACTTTGCGGTTGAGGGTGAGGGTGAGGGTGAGGGTGAGGGTGAGGGTGAGGGTGAGGGTTTGGCGGCGGGTTGGTTGTTCTGGTTCTTGGTCGTGTAGCTAATAGCTCTTTTGGTCATCGGGCTGGAGAGCTGGCTGGTTCTTGGATTGGGGGCTCCTGAGAAGCGCGAAAGCTGCGCCACATTTTGAAGGGTCTCAATTGCCCGCCAGGGCCGGATACGGAGAGGAGCAGACATCGTGGTTTGGATTGTTGATAATGACAGGACTAGGGACGTCTTGCACCGAGGTGAATATATACGATCACGTGATGTAGATTTTATAGCTTCGTTCTGTTAAAGTTGGGATAATCGGGTATATATTGAGTGGGATTGATTGGAAGAGACTATTTGAACATGGTATTATGTATGAGTAGAGTACATTATGCGTCTTTGGTTTGTGTTCGCTGGTCGTTGCCCTGACGCTTCCAGCACTCGCGGAAAGCTTCCATCTGTGTTGATTAGAGTCAGTATGATCTGAGTAATTGGAGCCATGTCTTGTTTCCTCAATGAATTGGTCTTTGAAGAAGTGGAAGGATTACTGCAGAGCTGGCCTTCCAATGGCTTTAGGTGGAATGATATATGTTCGGTTTGGCGGATATTATAGCTCACCTCTTTTTTGCATTCGCGCCAGTCCTTCTTTGCATAGTAGCAGTCGTTCATCTTATCCTGCTCAGCTAATATGTGTTAGTATGGCATTTGTGACTCGAATTGAGTGTGACTTACTATGGCAGCCTGTGCTGAAGATCCGCTTGTCCCTGCCATTGCAATTAGCACCACGCAGACAAGGCAACTGAAAATGGTCTCACCAATCATCCGGCTCATCATCATCCGGAACAACAGCTGTCTTTTCCACGTTGTTCGACATGGCTGAGGTATGGTAATAAGGAAAGTTGGAGAACGGCGGTTGGCCTCGGCGGAAGATGGAGAACTAGTATCTTATCGCGCTGGTTTCCCTTTACAACGAAACAACAATGGCAACGCCAACGGGCAACAATGCCAATTTCAGTGGTAAAAAGCTCAATGTCCTAGTCTACTCCGGTTTGTTTCACTTTCCTCAGCCTGGCATCTCAGCTCTTTTCTGACCCGACGACTTCCCAACAGGAAATGGAACCACCGTTGACTCAGTCCGTCACTGCCTTTACACCCTCCGCCGCCTGCTCGCCCACCACTATGCCGTTATACCTGTGACGGGCGATATGCTCCTCAAGGAGCCATGGATGACTACATGCGCTATGCTGGTTATGCCCGGCGGCGCGGATATGGGATACTGTCGCACACTCAATGGTGCGGGGAACCGGCGCATCACACAGTTTGTCCGCAATGGTGGGCGGTACCTCGGTCTGTGTGCTGGTGGCTACTACGGATGCAAGAGCTGCGAGTTCGAGGTTGGCGACAAGACAATGGAGGTCATTGGGGACCGCGAATTGGCTTTCTATCCGGGCATCTGTCGAGGCGGGGCATTCCCGGGTTTCGTTTACCATAGCGAGGCGGGTGCACGCGCTGCGGAGGTCGAAGTGGCTAAGGATGCTTTCAGTACTGGCACCGGCACCGTGCCAAGCACCTTCCGGTCGTACTACAATGGCGGTGGTGTCTTCGTTGATGCGTCGTCGCTCGCAGACAAAGGGGTAGAGGTTCTTGCGAGCTATACTGAAAAGTTGAATGTTGACGGAGGGGAGGGAGCGGCTGCTGTTGTGTACTGCAAAGTCGGGAATGGAGCAGCAGTCCTGACTGGGCCTCATCCTGAGTATGTTCTAAATTTCAATGATTCCAATTGGCAGGATTGATTGAGTCACTAACTTACGAACTAGATTTGCGGCTGTTAATCTGGACCCGAAGGCGGGCGGCGCTGAATATGCGGATATGGTGGCGGCTCTCGCTGCCGATGACAAGGAACGGACGGACTTCTTGAAGGCTTGTTTGTCCAAACTTGGACTCGAGATCACGCAGGACACGACAACAGTACCTTCGCTGTCGTCCCTGCACATGTCTGGAATCGATGCTGACGGTCCTATGGATATCCTGTCGGGACTTGGAGATTCATTCACCCAAGAAGGTCAGATCGAATGTCTCAAGGACGAACACGATACGTTCCGCATTCAACGTCCTGGAACATGGAATCTTGGTGGACTAGAAGAAGCGCTTCCCACAGCATCATTGGAGCCTAGCGAGGGTATAGTCGATTACCAGGCAATTATCAAGCGACTTGTGTTCCACGATGATATACCATCTTCCAAACTCACTCCAGACTTCAATCACCATGCATTCTATTCCCATCTCCGCCAATACCAATCCGAGTCTAAGGGAGAGGCCACAACATTTGGCTCCAATCTCTTATATGGAGAGGTAGTGACTAGCACGAACACAATTCTTGAAAAGTAAGCATTTTGGTCGATAGGTCTGGTATTGGTCGGCTCTAACGAGCATCAGGAACACGAAGCTGCTTCGCCAGTTACCGCAAGGGTTTACGGCTACGGCTACAGCACAAATCGCCGGACGCGGACGCGGATCTAATGTTTGGGTCTCACCGGCAGGTTCTCTAATCTTTTCAACTGTGGTGCGACACCCTATGGACAAGATTCAGTCGGCGCCGGTTGTGTTCCTTCAGTATCTATCGGCTATGGCAGTAGTCCGTGGAATCAAGAACTACGCTGAAGGCTACGAGAAGATCCCCGTCAAACTAAAATGGCCCAACGATATTTGTAAGTCTCAGGTGGTTTATTCTGTTACTAAGGTTGGTTTACTGATGGATGATCTACCTCCATAGATGCACTAGATCCAGATGACCCGGAACAGAAACGGTACACAAAGATCTGCGGTATTCTTATCAACTCCCATTTCATGTCAAACGAGTATATCTCCGTCGTCGGTATTGGTGTCAATGCCACCAACGCCTCTCCGACCACCGCATTGACCACTCTCGCCGCACGCTATGCGTCGCCGGGCGCTGCTACCGCTTCACCTGTCACGCTCGAGAGGCTCCTGGCTCGTATTCTGACTACTTTTGAAAGCTTGTATACCCGCTTCTTGCGCACAGGCTTCGATCGAGGCTTCGAAGCTATGTATTATGAAGACTGGCTACACATGCACCAGATTGTCACGTTAGAAGAGGAGGGCGGTGCTCGCGCTCGCATTCAGGGTATCACCCGTGATTGGGGTCTTTTGCTGGCCGAGGAGTTGGGATGGAATGATCGTCCAACGGGACGCGTGTGGCAGTTACAGAGTGATAGTAACAGCTTCGACTTCTTCCGTGGGCTGGTGAAGCGGAAAGTATAGATCAACTAAAATAGATAAATGACTACTGGTTCATATTTGTGATTTTCCGCAACAACATCTTAGATAATTCATTTGGTACATTCGACTTCTCATTCTGATATTAATGTGTATTCATTCAGCCACTGAGCTATCGTGATTGCAGATCAAGTGTTCCAGCAGCTATCCTCATCCTGACAGTAACTCATCGATTTTATAGTCGAGGACCCTCAACGACCCTGACGAGAGCTATACACCCTCAAAGCGATGGGAAGGATTTGACAGGAATTAGTCAGGCAAAATTACTGTCATCTGCAAGCGGCAGTCATGGGCCATGAATTTTGGCAATGCTCTTGAGATGTGAGGCATCAAGGTCGCAGGATCAATATGCCTAGTTGAAACGCATGCGTCCTATACATATTCGCTCCATTTGGGCACAAAGATCTGGCCGCATAATTCTCCTCAAGATGCACAGTTTTCCCTCTGAATTGATCATCCTGATAGACCCGATTCCGATCCTCTATTTGGGGTCAGGAAAAGGGCCCGCTCATCAGCCGAACTGTTCACGGGTCATACACGACCTTCAATATATGCACCTTTTCCCAAACAACACCCCAGTCGGGTCTGATATATATATGATAGAGCTCTAAATATATACACACGCAAAAAGGATATGCAAGGTAAGTATATAGGATACAGTATCAAGGCATCGACTCGGCCCAGGAGACCCATCGTCGGATACACTCATCCACTCTCCTTAGCGACTCCTTGTCAGCCTCGACCTCAAACCATTCCCGATGCTCCTTCCCGCACTCAGGACACTGTCCTAAGTCTCGCACACGCAGATCCGCCAGCTCAAGGTGAATGAGTCGTTCCACGCGATGCACATGTGGGACTTTCCTTCCGGCTACTAAAGAGGCCGAAGAGGCCCTATTCCGGCTGTTATGGGATGGCGCCACCCTAGCAGGGGAAGATGACGAGGATGACGATGGCGTGTAAGGGTAATAACGGATCAAGGTCAAGTCGTACGAGCACTGTTTACTCCATTCAGCGAGTCGACGGTGCACATTGCTCGTGCGTCCTATTTTCAACCTAAGCGTTCCGGGCGTGGTTGATGTTGGGTTTGAGGTGAGGGCATTGAGGTCCTGTGCTGCACGGATTGCTTCGCTGACGCTGCGTGGCTGGGTGGGTGGGCGAAGGTGGTTGCTACTTTGTGGGGCTTGGGGTAGTAGTGAAGATGCTATGTCTCGCGTTGCTGTGGATTCAGCGCTCCGCTGTGTGGTAGTTGTTTGGGGTGTCACCCAGAACATATAGATATAGCCTTCGTCGTCAGCGTTGGAGATCGGTTTTGCCAGTTCTGTGATAAGAATGGACGTTGTCTGCGGGGAAACCGTAGACGGGATCCACGACGATAATGGCTGTGGAGGCTTCCCCGTGTCTGACAAAGATGGCCGGGATGTTGGAGGAGTTGATGACACTTGCGTATGCTGCGGCCTTCCGGCTGAGGCAGGCAGCTTGATCTTTTGATTCTGATTTGAAGAAGGCGAGACACCACTTGTAGGGGGTTTGGGCCGTTGAACTGAGACCGGTCTGTCGTCCTCGCCGCTGTCTTCCACGATCTGGAAACAGCAAAAAGTGGACTTTTTCTTCGGTCGGCGCTTTTCACTGGGCCTACTTTGATTTGTCCGCCGTTTGTGGGGAGGCTTTGGCTTTGGGGAGACTGGGTCATCGTTTATTTCGAGCACACCCAGTCGATCCATTAATGTATCGATGCTTGTCCTCGTCTTGGCCGGAGTGAGGACAGTGGTATGTGGATTTGCTGAAGAATCCTGATCTTTGTGCTGCCAGCAGTACAAAGATGCCGCATCTAGAGCTTCTTGGCGAGGATCCTTCTTTCGGGGAGTAGAAGCAGGTGATGGATTTGGAGATGCCAAAGAGCGGCGGCAGGGCCGGCCTTGGGTGGTTATGCCTCTACATGTTGTCGCTGGGTTTCGAGAATCTGAGCGAGGAAGCAAAGATTCTGGAGTGTTTGAAATTTGAGGCATGTATGAATGCAAGCGATGAAGACAAAGAAATAGATTGGTACGATGTGAACTTATTGAACAGGAAACTATTGGCAAAAAAAAAGAGACTAGACTGCATGGATTGCGGTGAACTTCCAGAATGCAGCCTACAGGCTACATATTCTCCACTTGGAACTTGGACCACGTCAGTGGGACGCTGGGCAGAGGAAAGGAGATGATTTTGTTGTTTTGACGATTTTGGCCAATTACACAGCCACATTAGCGCAGTGTTAAATGTGGCTGTGTCCATGCTCTTGTTCCACCACATCTGCTCAGGTGAGTACACCTGGCCTTTTACATGTACATCATTCTTATCTACATACGTTGCTCCTAGGAGCTGGCTACACGCTCTGCAAGAACTTACAAAAATGTCGCAGATATTGACTTGATAATTGCAGCTATTGTATGAGCTATTTTCTTGCCTTATTGCCTGATTGAATGAAATCTCGAAATATACGAAACTGGAACACAATGCCATTGTAACGTCATATTTTTTTTAGGTGAGCTCTTGTCCGAGATCAGTCGGTTACGTAGTGGACAACCAGTCTATACCGAGTAAGAATACCAGCTTCCTATTCATGCTATTAATACAATAACCGGTGATCACTAATTGCCGCAACGCGATAAAGCCTTTTATAGGGGTGAATCCCCGATACCCATGGAGCCAGGACACTAAGCCAGCCAACTGACTGAATATTGGGTCCGTAACAAGTAATCGATTCGCAGAGACCGTAATAGATGGTTCCTGCACGGAAGTATTGAATCCGTATTCTTCCAAGTGATGCTGGTGCGTACCACATGGGAGTTTTCTCAGGCTGTCATGATCTTCATCAGTCTAGGAATATGCCTCAAATCGCATGTATTTCAGATCCATATTTAAGATCGACCCCGAAAAGGACCGCGGCATATACAGCAGATTACTCCGCTGAATAAGAAATGAAGGTTACGTACTTAATTGACTCATTGTGGGTTAGCCCTGGGGTATCTGATGTGGTGAAATAAACGTTGGGATTCGTGGACTGGTGGAGTTCGGTTCTTGTCGATCGTTCTAAATTAAGCTTCAACAAACTCGGGGGATGATCTATTTCCTCAGACTGTGGCTTGCGGATTAGGCTAATTTAATTTTATTATTACAGGCAGATATTTGATTATTGGTGAGTTCTGAAAACTTTGTGAATGCAAGTAACGGACTCCTTGAAACCTCGAATTCCAACCTATATACCACTCAGTTAGGGCTTACTGGAAAACACTATGTCATATATCAAAAGATGTTCCGGAATGCGTCGGAGATCCATCGCTACGGCAATGCATCTGTATAGCGGATCATGCTGCGTAAAATGTCCTATACTGGCGCCCGCATAGAAAGACCCCAAGCCCGCTATTGCATAGCTAGCTAGTGGAGAAGTGTCTGCTTGAATTGTCAGGATCTACAACATAGACACTAGAAATGCTCGAATCTCCTTTATGCCTTGTCTGTATACGCGTAATGTTGAAGAGGGATCATCCTCCTTACAACGCGTGGCACGGGAAAAGGAGCTGTGTATACCCGTAGTATGGGGCTTTAGCATAGTCAACCACACCCAGTTGAGTACATTGTAGCTCTATAGGTAGAAGACCTTAAAGCTATAAAGGGTTACTGGATTCCCGCATCCTCAGTTGTTCATCTACAATCAAATCAACATTCCTTACCAACTAAACTATCATCAATCCTTACTTTCTTTCCTACTTTCAACCACCAACCGCAAAAATGAAGGCCACTTTCGTTGTTTCCGTCATGCTTGCCAGCCTTGCCATGGCTTCTCCCGCCCAGCCTCAGCCTGCCCCTGCTTGCAAGGTTGACAACGACTGCAAGCCTCACAAGCAGTGCAACAACGTTGGACAATGCATTCCTAGCAAGGCCACTCGTGATATTCCTCTGGCCAAGGTCGGCCAGGCTTGCCAGTCTACTAGCGACTGTGTCAAGGGTCTTGTCTGTGACCAGGACAAGAACACCTGCGACGCCCCCAACACCCACAACAAGCGTGGTGTAAGTGCCACCAGATAATTACTACCAATAATCCTTTTCTCATGAATCTATATAGGACACCCTCTCCCAGATGGGTCAGGACTGCAAGACTACCAAAGACTGTGTGAAGGGCTTCGTCTGTGACAAGGTCAAGCAGACCTGTGATGCCCCCAACAACAAGCGTGACAACGCTCCTCAGCCCCAACAGTGCAAGTCCACTGGTGACTGCGCCAAGGATCAGGTTTGCCATGAGGGCAAGAACGTCTGTGTTGCTCTCAACAACAAGCGCTCCGAGGTATGTTCTACCTTTTCCGCATGAGTATACCCTGAAGATACTGACTCATTTTGAAGGGTAAGGACCAGTGCCAGACCGATGATGACTGCTCCAAGCAGGACACTTGTCAGGTTATCGTAAGTAGATATGTTCTCGCTGATATTAGGATGCGATAGCTAACAATATTTTGCAACAGAAGGGCAACAAGGTCTGCGCTGCTCCTCAGCCTAACCTCTCCAACTAAATGTTCAAAATCGGGTTTTAGCCGAATTTGGAAGCTGGTGATAACTCACGGCACTAATCGAACATTGATGGTGCGGAGAATTGTCAAGTTTTATACAACAGTTACAATCGATTTGTATCGTCTACATGGAGATTCCAATTTGCTGGGCGGTGGGATCCCTTGTATCAGGCGTGATTTCTTCCTTCCCTGTCTGAAGCGACATTCTATTCTTTAAACTACATAGAAAGCATTTGAACTAGGTTTCTTCCAATTTTTGAACTTTACGGGGGGTATCACAGAAGTCTGCTCCACACCTACAAAGTCACAATTTAAACATAAGATCAGTAGCTTCGGGATCGAGACTGAGATTTGATTTGAACAGTACACCTGAATCGGGCAGCGTTGATTGGGATACCGTTAACATCTTTGCTTGTTCTTCGAAAAAGGAAAGCGGGAAGTATATCCATGGCCCGTTCATTCTCCGATCGTCTGCCTCGGTACTTTTCCGAGGCGAAGTGGACTAACAGAAGAAGGGAATTCGTAATGCCTTCTATCATTGTTCTAAACTGCACTGATGATCTTCATTTGTTCTCGCATTGGAAGATCCCTAGCGTTCCTCAAATATCCACGTTTCTTATATTTCGAATGTAAAGATTTATATCATTAAATCTCAACAACTAGAACCTGAATCGATAGCTCAAAAAAAAAAAAGAATAAAATAAAACAAAAACGAACAAAAACGAACAAAGACATCAAACTGCGAATTCTTAAGTCTAAGCGCCCTCATAAAAGCGGCGGCAGCAAAGATAGGAATGCCCTAGCAGAGGAAATCAAGTGCGTATAGCTAGCTACCTAGGTACTTTTACTCTCTTTCATTCAGTGCATGTTCCAATTGAACTAAATATAAAACTTTAATGTGTCTCTAATCTGTTAATACTTTTCGAACCAGGCCAGTGCCTGGTTTTCCGCTTCATCGGCCTGTCTGCTCGCATCTTCCAAAACAAAATCAGCCCTGACACAAAAGCCATGGCTAGCGCCCTCATAAACCACCACTTCTCCTTTCCCAGAACCCGAGTCACTGGCGATGACTTGCTTGATATGCTCAATGTGTGGAGATTTCACAATTATATCCTTGTCCCCAAGCGCAAAGCTCACAGGGATTTTGATTTTCTCGATCTCGTTGGGAATCTCGAGAAGGCTAGGATGGCCCGTAAACCCAGCATTAAGCAGTGGTTTTCCATTTGAAGCAATATCCACTCCGGCGGCTAGATTGACGATATGCTTTCCACCCCAGCAGAAACCAGCTCCGTAGATAGGAAGCTCGGCGCCTTCGTTCTCGCGCACGGACTTGAAGAAGTCCCTAACGATAGGCCATGATACTTTGAACGTATTGTGGTACATGAAGGGCACCATTCTTGTTAGCATTGAGGCTAGATGGTATCTATAGCTTGAATTAGTGGCTGTGTTATACAAGCGCGATCCGGGCGTTCGTTGTTTTATCAACTTACGGCTTCATAAGCCAAGTTGTGAGTCCGCTCGTCTTCAACAACTCTTTTGTGGCAGACATCATACCAACCGGGGCCGCGTGACCTAACATTACGGTTAATGAGTTATCCTTTGGAGTCTCTGTTGACACTAGCACATACCGTTCATGAAGTCGGGAAGATAAACGAGGTACTTCCCCCTTTGCGCGTAGTTGTCAGCTAAGATTCGGTTGTTCACAAACTCCCACCCGAAGGCGTCGGGCACTATAATAATAATGCCCCGGTGAGGCACATCGTCTAGGGGTCTCGTCGTGTAGGCCTGTAAACCATGGAGAGAGGTGACTTCCCCACGGGGAGTGCCTTGGTGGATATGACCGCTAAAACAATTGGGACACGACATGTTGAGCTGTAAGTTATGGGGTGCTAATAATTGCACGACGTGAAGTGCAAGAGGCTAAGTATTTTTTTAAAAAAAGGGGGGGTTGCCGCTTATTTTCGGGGGCGTTCTTTAGACCAAACAGACTTTCGGCTAGATATTCGTGAAGGATTCCAGCTCGTATTAATGTACGGAATACGCAGTAGTTAACTAGTTATTTAGTTAACTAATGTCAACTGACATGTGCTGGCAGCCTTACAGCCTGACGCCTCTTTGCTCCTTCTCTCCCATGGCCCTCCATTCACCATCTTCCTGCTCTCTTCTTCTACCGCTTTGCTATCATCTTTACACAATGTCCAGAACTCAACTATCAACTCAATAAGCATATGTTACATACTTTCTGCACTAAGACCTTACAAACACTACTGGGCACAGGCCCCTGTAAGTCTCCGAAAGTCAAGACATTGCTCCCATTGAGCCAGCAAGTCGTCCCAATATATCTTTACCCGTGACAGCTGGCAGCTTATACTGACAGCCCAAGGCCTTAACCATTCTCCTGATGATGGCAGTTCATAGATCAGGTAGTACCGTACGGGCTTGAGTTGATTGAACGCACCAAGACGACGATGCATGATTTTGGAGGATCGTCGGCAAGTCGCATCCGGAAATCCGCATTGAAAACTGGGAAAGGCGACAGAATAGAATACACCGCTTCCAAAAGTACTCCTATCACCTCCTCGAGTTGAAAACAAGAGCCCGCCTTGAACACGGTGTTGTTCGATCGCAACCCTTGTTGAAGCAGGGATAGCCCGACATGACTAGCTCAGCAGTCAGAGGATATAAATGTCTCCCTGCCATTTATATCTTCTAACACATAACCATCTCCATGTGGAATTCTCTTAGGGTGATGTTTTACATCTTTTACATCTTTTATAGAGCTGGAAGCTACCCATGTCGCTCAAAACCGGAATCTTTTTGGCACAGTACAATGCTCCAGGAGACACCCTATCGAGGAAGAATAACTATCGATACGGAAGATGAGCACGGCCTTCAGGGCATTCTCGGCAGTATTCTCGGGCGGACATACAACAAGTCATTCAAATTTTACTTTGCCGATTTTGAATGAACAGACGGACTACACCTGGGTTCCTCAAATGCTGCGGCACTAAGCGATATTGAATGAAGCACTAAGATTCAAGGTTATCGGGGAGTTCAAAGAGACATGGCTTCATTGTTAGAGGGCATTGTTAGAGGGCCATGAGAGTAAACAATATATCAATTTGCCGCTATAAACATATCTCTAGACTACTTAGGCTTCCTGGGTCCCTATATCACTTCGCTAAGCCTAAGTAGGTGTCCACGGTACCGGGGGTTAGTCATGTGCATGAGGCATCTCCTCGATGTGAACTATATAATGTGCCCGTGTGCATTTATCCCAAATTAATCCACTTTATCGCACGGAACATGTTCATGTGAAACTCCTCTGAAGCCTTCGCTAGAACCGGAGAAGGGTATGACCAGAAATAGTGAGGATAACCGGGATAATCATCATACATGATAGGTACACCAACTTCCTCCAGGGCCCTTTTCATCAGTCGAGAATCATCTCTTAATGTATCTGCTCCACATTCGACAATATAGACCTTCTTGAGATCCTTCAAGCGCGGGTGGAGGAGAACTGAGAAATACTTGTCGTCAGGCGGTGGCGCATAGGTATCCAGGAAACATCTCATCGCAGCCAATGTGTTTACAGTGTGTATAGCGTTTTCCTCGTAAGAAGTAAAGTTCTCCTTCTTGTCTTCTGATAATGCATCAGGGTGTATAGTGCAAGGAACCAAAGCCACAATGCCTCTGACTTTGTCTCCGAGTCCAGAATCGACGAGTTTCAACGCAACACCAAAAGCAAGATTGGCGCCTGCTGAGCCTCCCATAAGCACAACGGATGAGAGCGAGAAGTGCTCGAGTGTCCATAATGTTGCCTCGACACAGTCATTGAGACCGTGGGGGAACTTGAATTTCGGTGCCAGTCTGTATCCAATACTGATGACTTTCATGCCGGTGCTCTTGCTGATCTTTCGGCATGCAGCATCTTCGTGGTCGACACTTCCCATGATCCATCCACCGCCATGCATGAAAATGCCTACCGGTTCATCTCCTGTCGCTGAGGGAGGCGTGAAGACTCGGACCCAGGCGTCTTTGAGCTTGATATCTTCGGTTTTGACTGAATCATCCGGTGGCGGAATTTCGTATTTTGATATGATCTTTTGTATATTGACTTCAGAATCTTTGAACAGGTCTTCCACTGTGCTACCTGTCATAAGCAGTGGTCCAATTTCTTGGACAAACTTGTTAAGGTTAGTGATGTATTATTATGTTGTGGGGGTTTTATTTAATTTACCTCATTCCATGCAGGCGCATATATCACTGCCATCCTTGGCTCTGAGACTGGTAAGAATACGTAGAATGTTAGAGATGGTTATTGTTGGAGGAAAGGCCGAATCATATACTTATAGTAGCTCCGGGCTAATTAATGGTGTTTATTCCTATTACTATATTCTCTATTACTAGATACCTGGTAATCTTGAATCATGAATGATAGTTGAAGCGTGATAATTACTCATTATTGTGATTACTTAAGGTTATTATGCTTATTTCTATAACGGGGCTAGCCGTGGCGCATACTCATAATGACTCATGCTAGTGACAGCGACCTTTCAACTCTAACATTTTGGACGTTAATTTATAAATTTATAAGAGAAGAATGAAAAGAGACAAAAACTTGGTTTCATTTTGTGTTAGCCAAGTAATCCAATGTTGTCCTCCCTTGGCAGACACAAAAATTCGAGTAGAGTCTGGAAGAAATTAAAGGATGGGATAGAGGTATTTGATCATGATTTAATAGGTTGATTCTATATATTCCCAGTTCGGTTATGATACTAGATATCAAGTAATTCGATAAAATAGTGAATCATCTATTTGAGCATTCTTGGTAGAATAGTACACAGTCAAGGTAAAGGGAAGGTATGTCTAATAAACTGCGGATATAAAATGAGCTATCTTGACATTCATACGTACATGTATAGATCCTGTGTTTAATGTTTCTATATAACTTCTATTTCAGTGTTCATCCCCTGCTGCCTCTTGATCACTGGGTAACTTCATAATTTCCCTGAGCACAACAGCATCCTCGTTACTCTAAACCTCAAGTGCAAGATCAATGGGCCCCTGCTCAAGCAGGCTACCTACATCTGCTTTTCCGATTTTTCCAATTTTAGCAACATGCCAGATGGCTTCATCGGATCGAAGATTGCCTGGCAAAATTGCACAGCAGTGTTGGATGAAAGATTAGACGATGTGGCCAGTAGTTCCAGCGCGCACCCATATAATGCACTATTGCATGGTGGAGTCTATCTACGACATGCTTTCTCCCCATCCGCGCAGGGTTGGAGAACAAATCGCTTTGCCATTGCTTCCAGATTTTGGACCTGAATGACTGATATGATCTTCTGGTGTGTGAAGTTGATACAAGACCTTTGAGGCCCATGATTTATTTGTTCTTTGACTAGAGGGAAGTATGCCTTGATATCAAAATCGAGTACAATTCTTCAGTATGGGCTTACCCCTCTTTTTTGCTGGGCGCTTATTAGAATAATTCACGCTCCGGGCCTTACAATACAACATGCCAGCTTGGAAAAATCTATATTTATATTGTGGAATATATTTTATAACCCTTATAGCCTGGTGCCCATGTTCACATGAACCGCTTTAGTCTGGCTATATGCCTCTAGACCAGCCTCTCCCAACTCGCGTCCAATGCCACTCTGCTTCACGCCACCGAAAGGAATGCGTGGATCACAGTCTTGGCTACTGTTGATCCAGACCATACCGGACTCGATCTCAGCGGCCACACGGTGAGCGCGCTCCAAATCGCGCGTGAAGACAGACGCACCTAGGCCGTAAGTGGTATCGTTGGCCCGACGAATAGCCTCTTCCTCATCATCGAAGGGGAAAATCACCACAACGGGACCAAACACTTCTTCACGAGCAATGCGCATAGAATCCGTTGCATTGATGATAACGGTAGGTTGAATAAAGTATCCATTCTTATTCTTTTCGTCAGCCGGCGTGTAGGCAGCACCGCCAGTGAGAATAGTAGCACCTTCGCTCTTGGCAATTTCAAAGTAGGAGAGGATACGATCATATTGTGCGCGTGTCACCTGTGGCCCGTGGAAGACAGACTCGTCCCATTGATCGCCGATTTTCACAGCCTCCACTGCCGTTTTATAACTAGCAGTGAATGCTTCAAGGATATCGCGGTGGACAAAGATCCGTGAGGTGGCAGTACAGATCTCGCCTTTGTTGGACATAATACCGCCGTGCGACCACTTGACAGCCTGGTCCATATCCGCGTCCGGGAAAACCAGCAAAGGGGACTTGCCGCCTGTCTCAAGCGTGATATTCTTGAGTGTGCCAGCAGCCATCTTCATGATCTCCCGGGCGGTTATTGTTGATCCTGTGAATGCGACCTTATCGATCAATGGGTGCGAAGCGAGCGCGGCGCCGGCCTCGCGCCCGTAGCCGTTGACGATGTTTACCACACCTGGGGGGAACCCGGCCTCTTTGATCAAAGTGCCGAGAATAAGAGCGCTGAGGGGGGTCTGTTCGGCTGGCTTCAGGACAACTGTGTTTCCGCATGCTAGTGCAGGGCCAAGCTTCCAGGTGGCCATTGACAAGGGATAGTTCCATGGAATGATCTGGCCAACCACACCGATGGGCTGGCGGATTGTGTAAGCAAACTTTTGGGGAGTTGTGTTGATGGTTTGGCCAAAGGTCTTATCGGCCCAGCCACTGTAATAGCGAATTGTCGAGATTGCCTCGGTGAGATCTTCGTCAAGGGCGACATGGTAGGGTTTTCCTGACTTGAATGAGCAAATTGATTTTTTGGGGGTGATTTTCAGGCATACCATTATCCCAGGCTTCAATAGATGCGAACAACTCTCTGTTCTCCTCCATGAGGTCAGCGAGTCGGGCCATTAACTGGCCCCGCTCTGTCGCGGGAAGTAATTTCCACGAGGGGTGGACCAGGGCCGCTTTAGCAGCCTTAACAGCGCGGTCGACATCTTCGGCGCTCGCTGCTTGGACTGTGGCAATGGGCTTGTCTGTGCTAGAGTATAGTTAGTGGGGTGGACGGAGTAATTCCGATAATGACATACGCGGGGTCAAGAGATGTGATTGTCTGTCCTCCTGTGGCGGGTACAATCTCGTTGTTGATGAAGAGGCCGGTAGGCTGCTTGTAGCTGTGCCCGTTTGGGGTGACTATATCAATGAAGAGGTCCATTTTGTTCTTGAGTTAAACAGTTTTCCAAGATTCTGAGTCTCAAGGCGTGTGGGGGTATGATATAGGACATTCCTCCAATGAGGTTAAGCCCCTTCAGGCAAGTCCTTCCGATATACTCTCCGTGAATGTTAGTGATATTAGTGGAGAGAATAGATAGAATATTGCTTCTCATTTATTTTAATCCTAATCATTTTCAATTATCTGATTATTCAATATACATTCCACATTCCAGACTCTCACATCAGATGAAGGTACATTTCCAGCTTTTTTTATTAGCTACGTTCACAGCCGTGATGTGTCACTTAAAGGTTGTGCTTTCTTCTCAAGTTATGTTTAGCTGAAGATAGTTATTACAAGAAGAATGGAATATTTTACAAATGCACGGTTGATCCAGGAAGAATAAAAGGAAAATGAACTAGCGCAGAAGCTCAACAGAGATGAAAAGTGTTGAAGCGTATATATAGGATGTATGTTCCGTGCCCCTTTGGAGAAACAAGATAAGTCCTAGCTGAATACCAGTACTAGTCCGTTCCCAAATCTATGTATTTATCTAAAAGATATCCCAAGTGAGTATCAATTGACTATCAAGGTACCCCGTACAGATGTCGGAGATGCAATGACATACAACAGCCTTATTTGAACCCCCACAGGTAGATCAAAGTAGGATATATCCTCGACTAGTACGAAGTACAGCAAGCATGCAAATACAGTAGTGATATCCTAGACCAGTATATAACCATTACAGAATAGCCTGCATAGCCTGCATAGCCTGCATAGCACGGTCTTAGCTCTATATATATGCAGCTCAAAGGTAGCGCCGAGCCTTCCAAATCCCAAATGATGTACAGAATCTTATCGATCTAATGTACAATCCCGATTGAAGGAACACAGAATTAGGATCCAGAATCCCCAGAGGAAGAAGAAGCCTCCATTCCGATGTTCGTGATGCATCCTAAATAGGAAGCCCGTCCCGACAAGGCAAGTCACTCCTCTACATCTCGGAATGAACAAATCTGAATATAGAAACAGTAAGAGATTCCACAACCAGCACAACTATATCTAGATCACAACCACTTGCTCCAATTCAATCATACTCGTCATCTTCCCAACCGAACAACCAAACCATCTCTCCCTCACTCTATAACTCTACAACCTCCAAAATGGCCTCCCTCCATGGAATTCTAGTGGCCCTTATCACCCCCTTCACGGACGACAAGACTGCAATTGACGAAAGCCGTCTGCAAGCACACATCGAGCACCTGATCACAGCCGGCGTGCACGGTCTCGTCCCCGGCGGCAGCACAGGCGAATTCACCACACTGACAGTCGCCGAGCGCAAGCAGCTAACTGAGCTCTGCGTCAAATTCGCCGCCGGTCGTGTCCCCGTCGTTGCCGGCACAGGCAGTCTCTCATCCGCCGAGGCCGTCGAGCTCTCCGTGCACGCGGCTCAAGTTGGTGCCGCAGCGACAATGGTCGTGCCCCCGTATTATGACCCCGTCAGTCTGCCAGAGCTGCACGAGCTACTCGGCGAGATCCACACTGCCTCCGGTCTGCCGATCGTCTTCTATAATATCCCTGCTGCGTCTGGAATCACGCTGTCTCCCACTGAGATTGCGGGTCTGTCTAAGGTCGGCGTTAAGTATCTTAAGGATACTTCTGGTAATGCGCCGGCGCTGACGGAGCTTATCTTTGGTCTGTCCAATCAGATTACTTCGTTTAATGGATGGGATACATTGACCTTCTATGGTCTTGCTGCTGGCGCGCCAGGTGGTGTCTGGGGGGCGGCAAATATAATTCCTGAGTTGGCGGTTGAGCTTTATGAGGCTGTTTCTATTAAGGGGGATTTGAAGCTTGGGCGCGAGATTTGGGCTAAGGCTTGGCCTATTTGCAAGTTCCTTGAGGCTCATAGCTATGCTGCTGCTGTTAAGACTGGCGTTGAGTTGATTGGGCAGCCTACTGGAGGTCTGCGCAAGCCTTTTGCTCTCCTTAACCCCGAGTTGACGGCGGAACTTAAGCAATTGTTGCAGAATGCTGGTGTTAAGACTGTTTAGTATGTTTTGTTTGGATTTGATTATTTGGGATGCTTGAATGTCGGAATGAGAATGTGATATGTACTATCCACGTACTTTATTGAATATACAATCTTGGAATCATCTTCTTCATTGCGTCATAGAAGTGCGTAATACGAATCGTATAATATAGTGAAGACGAGAATAGCCAGCTGGGTCAACAAAACAAGGGCCATGTATGTCCTTGCTTAACGGTATCAACCCACGATGGCATCGATTCACCCCGGTTCGCAGTCAGATGCTCATCCTGCTTGCGCCACACTTCATTTATAATATTTCTAGCCGTTCCAAAAGCGGCAAATCCGCATACTGAACTCGCCCTATCCAACAGGCTCATGATCGCCTCTCGCCTTGCGGTTGATATTGCCTCACATCCTGCGATAAACAACGGCCACGCCGTCCCGGGTCCGATGGGATCATCTTGAGTCAATGTAGCACTGCACGCTTGAAGCGCTGCAATAACACTATCAACATGACCCTGCAGAGCAGTAGGGTGGGTGTGTCGGATTCGTTTGTAAAAGAAAATTACTAGAGCTGCATTCAATGCCGCCACCATATGCCCATGCGGCTTTGAGTCGGCGTGGAGCTCCAAGACTCCGGCTCTTGTTCGGCCTAGACTGAAAGAGCAAATCATATTCTCCAGTCGCGTGCTACGTCGCTGTAGTGTTTCCCATGCTTCTAGGTTCATGGTCTGACCCGCCTCACGGGCAACACGGAATGTCTCCAAGACGTTGGCAAGTCTCGTTGTTTGCGAGACAAGGCTAAGCCAGGTTTCTGGGATGCCATAAATTTGCTTATATAATGTTTCGGGATAACTTCGCGAGTCCTGGAGGTGGATGTCGTGAAGTCCCGAAGTTTGGTCTTTGGGTTCATCGATATTCAGGTCACTATCCGAGTTCTGCGTTTCGAGGCGGAGGAAATCGTCCAGCCGGGGGTTTGGCTCGGTGTTTCCCATTTCTTCCGAGTTCGGTGTATATTGTGATTGAAATCGTGATCCAAGTGCTTCGAAGGAGGAGGAGGAGAGGTTGTAGTCATGTAGAACAAATGTGCTTTCGCCGACTATTCTTAGCCAGGTGTAGACGTGATGCAAAAGCCGTGCCTTTTTCGAAATTCGGGTCTTCGAAAGTCCTCGAAGGCGTAATAGCCGCTCTGCATCAATCATAAAACATCGGGCGTGTTGTTGTTGGCCGGACATGATCTGTGAAAGTCAGAGTCAGTCAATTAATGTGAAATGGAAAACTCACCGTGTACTGTATGAGAATGCATGCAGCCATCAGTTGGTCTTTATATTTTGCTTTTTTTAAACCTTGGGTTTCTGAATGCAAAGACGTTTGCATATGATCCTTAGCTTGCAGATACGCCTGGTTGGCAGTCTTCCACCAATACTCAGCCGGCTTTGTCGATATTGTGGAGGGGTTCAAAACAAGGTGAATAGCAGAACAGGCAAGCAACCCATACAAGTTTGCAAGTTTGGCATGACTGATCCTTTCCGTCCCGAGAAAGGTCGAGTCACTATATGTAACCACCGCCGCCGGCACGTTCAAAATCTTCCAAGGCGACTTTTGTCGACATGGAATGGCCATTATGTGTGGAATCACCATATCCTGGAAATGTTTAAGCAGACACGGTGCATCTTTCAGTGCATCTATATCAGCGGAAATAAGATCTGCTGGTGTCTGTTGCGTTGTGAAAGTTTGCAGTAGATCCTCAATGTGATTTGAGTCAACGGGTAACAACCCCGTCTCTTGGCTCATATCAAAGGATAAATCATTCGGCATACTCGAAGCACCGTTTGTTGTAAATTCTGTCTGTTCTAGGCCAAAGCTCAATAGATCGGACCAATGGAGGAAGTCATCAATTTGAGACAGAGAATCAAGTATTGGAGAGAGAGGAGGCTCTTGCAGTTTCTCAGGAGCTACAGTCTCATCGGCCTCGACTGCAGAACTTGTATCAGACTTGGAAAGCTCAGTTTCATGCACCAATTCTCCCACTGGCTTTTGTGCTGAAGAGAAATCGAGAACCGCGAAGGGTCCAATGACAATGTCACCATCAAGTGACCGTTCAGGGTCTCGCAGTCTTGAGTCAACCTCTGCCAGTGATGCATCAATAGAGCCTGATATAAGGTCCGACCCAAGCGCAGTGCTCATAGAAAGTCTGGATTCCTCTAAAACGTGGGTTAACACTAATCCAATTTGTCTCATACTGTCAGGATCGTGTACCTGAATAAAGATACCGGCGAGTCCCACGAGTACTCTCCCCCTCCTCGCTATCGGTGCGTATCCACAGGACCTGATCGGAATATCCCTCACATTTCACGCCTAAGGCTCGGCAGGTACGACAAACGGGCCGTTTCTGATCACATTTCACATGCCGCCGTCTGCAGGTGCTGCATCCTCCCAGCGCATGGGATCGGCGGGGCCATGATCGTTTAGATGTCACCATTCTCGAAGGATTTGATATATAGATTCAATTAAGAAGGAGCTTCTTGCTATCATTCCCATATTGGAAATGTTCAAGTCGGTTATGGCCAACCCCGCCAAACTCGGAATCACCTTCCTAAATGAGATCTCTTATCGGCCTATCTCCGGAGTCACTTGCTCTTGACGGGTCTTTTTCTTCCGTTTTTAACGTCAATTCCATTCTGATCCGACCGACATCACTTCTGTTTATTGTAAAGCAAAATTGGGCCCGTTGGTTTTTTTGGTTTTTTTTTTCAACTCGTTTGGCCCAGTTCTACCCCTAGTGAATGATTACCACAGTTGGGCACACTGAAGATCTTGTTAGAAGTGATTGTTAACCATGACCAAAAATTACGCGATTCTCGCTCCAAATACCTAGAAGAAAGTGACCTTAGTCGCATAAGCATCTCTAATTCTCTTTCCGCAGAGGTTTTCTGACCAGGCTTGGGCCCAGCACGCTCGGCTAGCCCACGATATCCTCGACGCTCTTGCATGGCTGGCACTGGCGCTATATTTGTATAGGTCGTAGATAGTTGATTTGATAAAAGCTCTATGCAATTAAACATCCTTAACCCGTGACACCATCCACGGAATCTCAATCTAGCAAGCGACTCCGGTGACCCTCTTCCACGATAGGAAACCAACCCAGAAACCAATCTATAGTGAAGAGAAGCTCCTTGTGTGCATCCCAATTTGGCAATGTAGAATGACCTCGAAAGGAAAGAGGTTGTCGGGGATCCTTATTATTTGAACTCTGCTGTCATCGCCTTACTCTATCCAGCTTTCTTACCCAATTTCTATAATCACATCCCAACACACGCGGTACAATGGCTCACCGCGGAGAGACCCTTTCCAAAGATGTATGCTGCATTGCTGATCTGAAGAAAATCGGGAGCAATCGGCTGGCTCCGATGGTCAGAGGTGAGTATTATGAACAGTTAACAACAGCGCTTCATTGTACCAGCGCTGACATCAATAGATTACTACAATGGAGGAGCTATGGATCTAATCACGTATGGAATCTCGAAATGCAGCGACTAGTCCATCTCCCTAACAATTGTCTAGTCTCAATGAGAATGAAACAGCCTACGACCGCTACAAGATCCGTCCCCGGATCTTAATCAACGTCGACAAAATCGACACAACCACCGTGTTCCTTGGCAGTAAGGTATGTTATCCTTCTACTTTCCCCGCAGAAACGAACATAACTGTGCCAACTCTAATACTCAAACAGGTATCACTCCCATTCGGTTTCAGTCCTGCTGCATCAATGAAACTCGCACACCCAGACGGCGAACTCGCGACCTCGCGCGCAGCGGCAAAATTCGGCCTCTGCATGGGCCTATCTTCATACTCGAATTATCCGCTCGAAGACGTCGCTGCACAGGGGACCGGCAATCCGTATGTGATGCAGATGTGTGTACTGCGGGATCGGGCAATTACGCTTCAGTTGTTAGAGCGGGCGGAGAGTATGTCGTTATCGTGAATGGCTATTCTTTCATGGTTTCATTGACTAGGCCGAACTAATATCCTTTTTTCAGAGGCCGGGTACAAGGCACTGTTCCTATCTGTTGATGTACCCGTGTTAGGCAAGCGCATCAACGAATACCGAAATGAGTATACCATCCCTGATGATATGTCGTGGCCGAATATCCTCAGCCACGGAGCGGATCACTCGAACCGCACTGATTACGGTATGTGTTGCGAGGCTGATCTGTGGAGCTGGTGTTAGGTTATGGATGGTATGCTGATGTTTTGCAGATCCCAGTTTGGACTGGGAGGAAACAATTCCTTGGTTGAGACGGCATACATCTCTGAAGATCTGGCTTAAGGGTGGTATGTTTACGTTGTCGAGTGAATCAAGTAAAGCAGTCACAGTTCCACTAACAACTGGCAGTAACATCCCCCGAAGATATAGAGCTGGCCATCAAATACGGCATCGACGGCGTCGTCATTTCGAACCACGGAGGCCGACAACTGGACGGCGTGCCGTCGACATTGGATGCACTGCGGGTCTGTGCCCCGGTGGCCAAGGATCGCATCCCGATTGCGGTGGATGGGGGTATCCGACGAGGCTCGGATATCTTCAAGGCTCTGGCATTGGGGGCTAGCTTCTGTTTTATTGGAAGGATCCCATTCTGGGGGTTGGCTGTATGTGTTTGCTTCTTCTCTGGTTGCTTATTATTTTATTTGAAGCTGACGGAATACAGTATAACGGACAAGAGGGTGTTGAATTGGCGATTCGGATCCTCCGCCAAGAACTGCGGATCACCATGGCACTGGCCGGGTAAGCGATTGTTTCTTCTGGAAATGCATAAAAGGAAGAAAAAAGTCTAATCGGAAGCAGGTGCCGGACAATCAGCGAAATTCAGAAATGTTATCTTTCGGTTTTACAACCGGACGGGATTCTTTCAAAACTGTGATGGATATAGATTTGTTGCTATACTCCCCTTCTATACTATTTTTATTATATACGATCTACAGTCAACCTTGCATAGAAGGTATGTGCAAATGAGGTCAGTTCATCTCTTTGCATACCGAATATGTCACAATACAAATACCCGTCCAATACAAGCCGTGTGCCAAGACCTTGGCAACCCGCAGGGCTGCAGGGCTGAAGGGCTGAAGGGCCAGATGATTTCGGATTTTTGAAAAGTTCCATGGCTTCTCTAGAGAACAAGCTCTCAAAGAGGCTGTGCAATTGAATATAGTATATGGATTGGGAATACATAGCCACACTTCCACAAGTAAATATAGAATATAGAATGGGAACACATGAAGCCTCCAGCCTCCATGGCTACGTATCCTGCAAAGCCTGGTCCCAGGCAGCATCGTTCTGATTAGTCCCCTAAACTTAGCAACGCGTACCTCAACACAGCTTAGCCCTGGAAATTATTGGAATGCGAGTACGGTGTAATCTCCGGGCGCTAATTGTTTCATTTTCCTTACTTTTCTTATTTTCGGCTGATCCTCCACATTATTGGGGAAAAAACTACATATAGCGCCGTGTTCTCTTTTCTTTCTCCCCTTTTCTTTGTTTTCTATACCTTCCTAAATACACCGGACTACATTACCTTACTACCTTCAACCCTATACCCTATACACATACTACCATACTACCAACCCTACCCACAATGTTCAACTTCAACTTCTTCAAGTCCGCCCCGGCCAATGAGCCCGCCACTGACGGCTGGAACGCCAACACCGTCACCATGCAGCCCACCAGCCCCGCTGCCCCTTCAAGCAACCAAAACGTCGTCTCTGAACAGCCGGTATGTTTATACCCCCATATCTTCTTAAATAACCCATATTTCCAGAGCAAAAATAAACTCATATCGCTTCTAGGCCAGCCAAGAACAAATGCAGCTGCGCGGTGGTGGCGGTGGTGGTATCTGCTGCGGAGTGTATGTTTCCCCTCTATCCCCCCTCCTCCGAATCCAAGCCGATCAGAACCATATTCGGTCGTGCGCACAATAAAATTACAAGAAAGCTAACTCATCCCAGTTGCGCCGGTATCGCTTGCTTCGAGTGCTGTGAGATTTGCTGCTAGACGATCGGATGAGATCGGGATATAACCGCCGATACGCTCATATACGAGGACACTGTTGATGGACCCAGCACGTGCTGGGTTTAACTCTTGGAAAACTCTTCGAACCTTCCTGGACGGGATTCATCTCCCGCGTGGCCTCGGCGGTCCTTGATGTGATGCGATTTTGATGTGATTTGATTTGATGGACTTCCTTTCTTTTTTGCTCTACTGGATCTTTCTACGCTATACCCCAGAACAATGCCAGTAATGGAGTTCAATTTCAGATTCTTGTGTTCGATTTACTCGCTTTGATATATGTAGATGATCTTTGTCGTGGCTCGTGAAGTCCTCCATATATTTATGGAAGGACAGGTCAGTTGTTAATCTTTGTGTGCCGACTAGCCAAAAGGGCGACGGGAGATCGCTGATCGCAATGCGGCATCTACGTCCCATACTCGGAAGCCTGGCGCGCGGCCGAGAATTCTGAGGTTTGCGAGAAGTACTGGGCTCAGGTTAGTGATGTCGACAAAAGCACAAGGAGCAAACATATCGTTAACTCACAGTCAAAGAAACACTCTATATCCAGAGTATACGACGATGGGGCAGGTGATTCCGACTCCGTCTTCTCAACAGGAGTAGTCCCAGCTGACGAAGTATAGAGACTAGAAACAGTCGACCGATCCGGCGAAAATCTATACAAAGCCCCAACCAAGCTCTCGGGAACAGCAACTCTTACCGCCGACCCGTCAAGCGCAAGACCCCGATGCTCCAAATACCCCTGCACATCATGACAATCAAACCACTCCCCATCAAGATCCATCGAACGGATCCTCTCCTCCTTACTCATCTTCACCTGCTTCACACCCGCCCCTCCCTCCAAAGTACCAGCAACAGGCTCACGATCCCCACTCCAATCCTCATCCCAATCCTGAATCCCGCCCCGCTGCAAAATCCGCTCCATCCGCCGTAGAATCTTCCCCGGTCTTCGACTATTCTCCGGGTACACGAGGTTTCGGTCCCCGTCCAAGCGGGGGAAATGCGTTCCCGCCCCGCCGAGCGTGTAGAAAGGCATCTTGGTGGATTCGAGCCTGCTCCCGATCTCGGATTGTAGCATGCGTCGGAAACCCCGTCTTATGCCTGCCATATCGTGGATACAGGGGACGAGTCCGAAGACGCGGCTTAGCAGGGCGGGATCGCTGCGGGGATCTGCTAGCCAGCGATAGGTGTGCTCGAGGCTGAATCTGTGGAGGCGGCGGGAGAGATTGGATTCTTGGTGGCTGTAGGTGTAGATTGTTGTTGTTGGGAGGATGCGGTTTATTAGTGGGGATGGGGAGCGGGCGCGGTTGTATAGTGGGTATGAAGATGAAGATGAAGAGGGGATGTTGGGGTTATCCTTCTGGGGATGTATGTGTGACACTTCATAGCCGAATGTGTCCATGTCTCTCAATGGACCATTGGTTTGCTCGAGTTGGATGTCATTGTTGTTTTCGGAGGTGAGTCGGGTCCTGTTTATTTCTGCTAGAATGAGCTCTCGTGTGAGAGCGAGATAGTCCACGCTTGGCTGAGCAGTTGGATCGTCGTTGAGGTGAGTGACTGCATCGCGATGGGCTCTGTCTAGAAGATCTGATACATTCTCTAGTGTCTGCTCTAGTACATCGACGCGGGATCGGAGAGTCTGTATGGTAACCTCCTTTTTAAGACGATAAGTGCGTTGTGCCCGTCGGATCTGTAGACGCCGTTCCTGTGGAGCTGGTCAACGATGTTTCTAACGTAGTGACCGATCGGGATCTACCTCGATGGCACTGGCATCTTTAGCCTCTAATCTCGGTCGGCCTCTTTTCCGCACGGGACAATCCGGAGTAGCCGAGTTTCTGTCAGTGACTTGGTCGGGGATCTCCGGTGCTTCGGGTCTCTTTCGAGGTCGTTTTTCCCTGTTTGATATTTCTTCTGACAGTTCCAGGTAGGATCTTGACGATAACATGTCCATCCCGGGTCCTTGTATCTGGAGTTTTGAGCTAAAATGGTAGTAGTCTAAATTGTTGAGATTCTCAGAGAGAACAGTGGACGTTGAGGTTGATTACAACTTGATTACAATTAATTGATCACTCATCGACAACCTCGGCCCAACCACCGGACGCTAATGCGACAGGGATTCCCCACTGCCCTGCAGGTAATTGCACGTCACCAAGGCCATTGCATATATAACGTTGCAATATCAACTTGCATATTTTCACAACTTGGATAATTGTTGGATAATTGTTGGATAATTGTTGATTATCCAAATTGTGCACATTCCAGCACGTTTCATGTCACACGGGAAACTCGTTGGATTCTGACACACAGACCTCCCCTAGCTTTTCTTCTATCCCGCTATAACCTCGGGTGATACATTCGGAGGAAAGCTAGAATTAGAGATTATGAGAATAGGAGACCTATAACAAAAAGACACGGTGACTCCGACACAAACTCGGGTCTCAACACACACCAAGTAACAACTCCGAGATCCAGATCGGTGAAGAAATTGCATGGAGTGCGAAGACCGAACTGCGGATCGGATATGACATCCACTATGACTGCCATTGGCTCGTCAACCCTAGCTCTTGACGATCATACCCAATCCTTGCTACGGAGGGTTTCCCCACTTATGCTTGGACCCGAGGCTGTTGCATTGTTATAAAACAACCCTGATTTCTTGCATTTCTCTGGAAAGTCCAAACTCTCTGACAGAACAGAATCATGGCTCTGTCATTCGTCTTGGGCTTTGCGGCCGCAGCCCTCGTGCTGCAGGTCATCCGTATGGTATTCAACTCATGGCAACACTCCCGCAATGCTAAGAGCCTGGGTTGTGGCAGTGTGCCATTGTACCCGTGCAAGGATCCTTTGGGAATTGACAACCTGAAACAGTCCCTGGCAGCAGACAAGGCCAAATTGGTACCTGAATTGGCCGAGGAGAGGGTCAAGGTCATCAGTGATCAGGAGAACCGCTACGTCACCACGTTCTCCATCCGCAACCTCGGTCGCACCCACATTTTCACTATCGACCCCAAGAACATCCAGGCTCTCCTGGCTACACAGTTCAAGGACTTTGAGCTTGGTTCTGTCCGTCGACTTAGCATGCATCCGCTGCTAGGCACTGGCATTGTGAGTCATATGCGATGCCTTATTCTCTATCTCCAATCCGGGTATTAACTGTTTATAGTTCACCGCCGATGGAGAGGAGTGGAGCCGATCCCGTGGGCTACTTCGGCCTCAGTTCACCCGCGAGCAGATCAGTCAATTGGATTTGGAAGAGGAGCATGTGCAAAAGGCCATGCAGGCTCTACCCGTCGCAGCCAACGGATGGACCGCCACAACCGACATCCAATCCATCTTCTTCCGCTTGACCATCGACTCCGCCACAGAATTCCTCTTCGGTGAAAGCGTTGAGAGCCAGCTTGGCGCTCTGAACAACCTGAGCAGACCCGAAGACTCCTTCGCCAGTTACTTCGACAAGTCCCAATGGGTCTGCGCGCAGCGCAGCCGCTTCGAGAAACTCTCCTTCCTCGCCGAGAGTAAGGAAACCAAATTCTCGGACAAGCAAGTCCACTCCTTCGTCGACAAAGTCGTCTCCAACGCGCTCGCAGCCTCCCAAGCCGAAAAGAAAGCCTCCCCTGACCAAAAATCATCCTACGTCTTCCTCGAAGCTCTCCTCGAAGTAACCCGCGACCCAATCGAACTCCGCTCCCAGCTCCTCAACATCCTCCTCGCCGGCCGTGACACAACAGCCTCGCTCCTAAGCTGGACGACCCTCATGCTAGCCCGACACCCAGAAGTCTTCACTAAACTCCGCGAGACAGTCATCTCCAACTTCGGCACCTACTCCAACCCCCAGAACATCACCTTCGCAACCCTAAAATCCTGTCAGTACCTGCAATACGTGATGAACGAAGTCCTCCGTCTGTACCCAGTTGTCCCATTCAACCGCCGCAACGCAACCCGCGACACGACCATCCCGCGTGGCGGCGGTCCGGACGGCCAAGACCCTGTCTACGTCCGCAAGGGCCAGTCGGTTATCTACACGACGCATGTTATGCAGCGTCGCAAGGATCTGTGGGGCCCTGACGCTGACCAGTTCAAGCCTGACCGCTGGGCGAGTCGTCGGCCTGGATGGGAGTATATCCCCTTCAATGGCGGGCCGCGGATCTGTATCGGACAGCAGTTTGCGCTTACTGAGGCTGGTTATGTTATTGTGAGGCTTTTGCAGCGCTTTGATGAGATCGAGGATGTTTATCCTGATCAGCAGATTCGGTATGGTCTTACTTTGACTAGTGCGCCTGGTGATCTGGTTACTGTGCGTTTGCACCAGGCTGAGGATGCTTGAGGTGGTTCGTGGTTCGGGTGGTTGGGTTGCCTTTTGATCTGTCCCTTTGTTGGGTGTGGGGGGTTTCTTCGTTTTCTAATGCTGATAAGCGATGTATATTCTTTCTGCTGTTCTCTGGTCGAGATTTCATAACCATGACCGAGATCTGCCTCAATGCTTAATTTGTATCGGTTTTTTCCCGGCAGAGTTACTCTTCGGGGTATGCGCCTATGGATAATGATGATGAGAATGATATATTTACCTAGTAACGAATGCAACTTTAATTATCTTTTATATTGATTCATGGGGGTTCACACCCGAGATGTCAGTCTTCGATTTACACCAATCGAAGCAGTAGACACTGACATATTTCATCAAATCAGATTCCAGGTTGATCTTTCAGGACTAACTATAAGACGAATTTCACATTCTTTACTCCTGTCTTGGGTCTACAAAAGAATAAAACACCCATAATAGAACATTATGGGGAAACGCAGTTGTTTCTAGAAAGATAGGAAACCGGTTATGTAACTACATCAAGGCCCAGAGAGGTAACACATCCAAATTGAATTTATATAGAAAAGTCGAATTAAATCGAGAAGAAAGTAAAAGTGAAGTATAAGAGCAGTGTAAATAGTAGTCAACACTGAAAGAAAACGCTCACACCAAGCCACCAATCAATAAAATCTCCCCTTTTGGCTTGATCAATACAAGATCATCCCTTAGTTGATACACTGGTAGTAGTAAGGGTTCTGCTTAACGCAGGTGGTACCACTCTCACAGACAGTGGGGCCAGTCCAGTTAATGCCACCGCACTGGTAGTAGTGCTTAGCAACGGATCCAGAAGAGGGGCTGGCGGTAGGTACCTGGGTGAAGGGCTTAGCGGTGGAGGTGGCAGAGGCAGGGGCGGTGACAGTGGCGAGAGTAGTCGGGGCGGCAGCGGTGGTGGAGACAACGGGAACAACAGCGGCGGAAGTCTCAGCGGGAGCGGAGGCAGTCGAGCTGGAAGACTCAAGCACGGAGCTGGGGACCTGGACGTTGCTGCTGGGGGTGCTGGTGACCTCGATGGCGGCGGCGGTGGTGGTGGTCTGGGCAGCGGTGGTGGTGGAAGTCTTGGCGGCGGTCTTGGTGGATGAAGAGGAGGCAGGGGTAGAGGCAGTGCCGCTAACGAAGTACTTCTCGAGGATGGGGAGGTAGGTAGAGTAAGCAGGGCCGTTGCTGGGCTCCAAGCTGTACATGTAAGATCCCCACATGGGACCGGCGGACCACCACTCGGCGCCCATCCAGACATCGCTGTTCTCGGACATGTAGGCGAGCATGCCCTCGACGGCAGCCTCGCAGTTGGCGTTGACACCACCGGCGAACTCGCCGATAAAGCCCTTCTTGTTGTTATCCTGCAACCAAGTGGTAGCGGACTGGAGACGCTCCTTTCCGATGGTGGCGCTAACGCAGGTCTCGGAGGTACCGGAGCTATCGCCGTCAAGGTACTGGTGCATCTCGTAGACGATCTTGTCCTCGGAGTCGGTCAGGGCCTTGAGGTTGTCGTTGTTGGTGGTCCAGGACCAGGCACCGGAATAGGCGTTACCTTCGACGAAGATGTACTGGCTGGTGGCGCCAGCGGCACGGATGGCGTCAATAGCGGCCTGGTTCAGGTCTAGAACGAGGGACTGCTCGAGGTCGTGGTACTCGTTGTCTAGAGTGGTGTTAGTGGATGGTTTGATAGTGTCACTTTGACCATAGGGTAATAGCTTACTGGTGTCGAAGATGACCTTCTCATTAGAGGCAAACTCGGTAGCAACGGTCTTCCAGAAGGCCTTGAAATCGGAGGTCGAGGTGATGATGTTGCCATGGCTGTCGATAGAGCTTTAGTATCATACAATAACGGTAGGAAATTCTAGCTTTAGTTAACTTACTATCTTCCGTAGTTGTGGGGGTCAAGGACGGCATAGGCACCGCTGTCGGTGATGAACTTGATAGTCTATAGCATGGAACTGTTAGACCTAGGTGGGGGGAAATCAATAACCACGATAGACATATCACGTACGGACTTAAGGGCGGCCAGGTAAGTGGCATCCGGGGTGCCGGTAATGCTAGTTGGCACCAGGCGCTCCATCAAGAAGGGAACACGGAAGATGTTCATGCCGGCATCTCTCAGGATCTGAATCTGGGAAGTCTTGGGCCAGGTGTAGTCTTGCTCCAGAGTACCGGGGATGTTGCTACCGAATTCGGCACCGGATTCGCTAACACCCACCCAAGTGAATCCATTGGCACGCTTCTTGAGATCAGCGCTCTGCTTGGTAGGAACAGCGTCTCTTCCTCGGGGGTAGGCGTAGGCGACGCTTGCGGCGCTGGCAGCCAGAACAATGTTGGTGAACTTCATTGTGAAAAATGTATAATGTGAAAGAGAGTGAGTGTCGAGTTTGACGGAAAAGAATGTGATGGAATAGAAGTAAAAGAACGGAAATCAAGAGACCAGTCTTGAAGTATGAATGAATGTGAATGAATGTATGCACGATGAAACTGCGGGGACAGCCTGTTATATAGCCATTCCCTGCTCGAAGGCATCAAATAGCGTCTGGTCTATGGAACGGACTCATAGGCAATCCAAGACAGTGTGGATTCCCTCTCATAGAGCCACTATGGAAAATCATTCGGCTTAATTATGACCGGGATACCGGGAGACGCTAACCCTGACGCCTTCAGGAGATATCCCTTCTAGACGGTGGATTCTCTTCACCACCGAAGGAGCCGAATAAACGGTCAAGTTTCTCAAAAGCCACTAGGTCAGGCACAACTGACCAAGAACGGTCCAAGGCTGTGTAAAGCCCCATATTATCCACACTCTCACCCAATATACATCGGAGATTAGCAGTCAACGCTTAGCCCCATGGTCTGACAACATGTGGAGATGAGAGCACTAAAGGGCTCCAAAGTCAGGCCAACTTCCATTTCACTAGTTTCGACGAGTCTTACCGTGAAAAAAAGAGGCAATCTAAAATAAATTATTCTAATACACTTACGAAATAGGCTAACCCATCTTGGGTGTAGTGGCCGAAATGAAGCGCCGGTAAATGAGAAATGCTCAAGATGAAACATCTTGTGGCATTTAGGGTTGACAACTGTTGGATCCCCCGACATAATTTTCCAAAATGAACTCTGCAAAAGCAGGGAAACTCATATCGAAGCCAGATTATCCACATTTCTGATTAATCCCGGGCATAACTGATAACCCGATTAATAGAAATTCAGGGGATGTTTGGGACTTTTGAAGGACCTTTGAAAGCCAGTGTGCTCAAATCAAATCCATCAGAGTAAGATTTCCAGTGCCAAGGCAGAGACAATGGCAACTATAAAATGGACAGACCACATGTTTTCGATAAAATTGGGCCTACTGTCTTTGTCTTGAACTATCACATGCACTTTCCAACGGAATATTTAAAATACACATTCTGCCCTTAATTTCTTATAGTTTACTTCAAATAAATTAGACTGGAAGTCCCAATTAATTATCGTACTGGCTAATTCTGGTGTGATCTGTAGTTTTAGCCATTCCCAAAACTAATGGTTCAGTATCCAATCCTCCCGATCATGTCTAAGATGGGCATCTTAGATCATGAGACGCTCGACCTGGTTCTTAATAGCACGGATCTGAGCGGTCAGGTCACTGGCCTCGTTGGTAGTGATAGAGGCAGCAATCACGGGGCGGGAAACACCAGTAGCACGGCCGAGAGCCATCTTGCTAGGAACGTAAACGTAGGGAACCTAATTTAGATGATCAGTCGAGATCTTCGGTGTAGGGCTCTACGGTATTCAACTCACGTTCTTGTCCTCGGCCAAAAGAGGCAAGTGAAGGACAATAGCGAGCGGGCTAGTATCCGCAGCCATGATCACAAGCTCACTGGTACCCCGGTTAAGGGACTTGGTGCATTCGTTAGCGCCCTAAAAACGACGGTTAGCTTAAGTTTTAAACCCAGTGAAAGTGTATACAAACCTTCTTCAGTTGGCGATAATGAGCGGCCTGCTGCACAAGGTCGAGGAGGCTCTGGGCAAGGGCCTCATCGGCGATAGGCCAGGCAGCGCTAGTGTCTTCGGCCATTGTTATATTGTAGTTGAGAACTTAAAAACCAGATCTTAAGAAATGGCTCACTCGGTGGATCACGGCCGTGTAATTGCAACGGAAAATAAGAGGTATATAGATTAAACTATGTTAAAGATAAAAATTTTCTTCATGTAGTATCGGCAGAATATAAGGGCGGTGTCTGACACACGGTCTAGGTATACATCGTGAGATCTATATAATTGGATTCGTCGACAACGTGTTTCATACTCCAATTCAGCTGCAAATAGGAAACGAGTACATCGTATCACCATATCTCGGCCAATATAGCCCAGCACGCCGGGCAAAAATGCCTAAATAAGTCAGATACGTCTGTAAAGTACTTGATGTTCAGAAAGGCATACAGTTACCATCATCTCTCAATAATTTGGTCATGCCCCTAGGGGCAATATACCGATCCTTTATGCTTTTGTTTATGCTTATTTTTTCCCCCTGTTTTCAAACTGAGATGGGCCGGGTATGAGGCGATCGAGGGGAGCACTTGCTGATTTCAACTACATTCGCGTTACATGGGATTCGAACTCCAATAAGTGAACCACGTGACTTCCAAAAAGCGTAATGTAGAAGAAGCAGCAATAAGACAAGCCCACTCTTTGAAGCTAATAAATGATCTCGAAGGAAAAAAAAAAATAGGTAGCTTCTCTTTGATTGAGCGTGTCATCCTTAGTGCAGGGGCCATGCTAATCTTCTCTGTATATTTTCATTTGACCATATGCCCCGAAGGGCGAAAAGATATCTTTAAAGTTCAATTTAACCTCAGTTTTTAGCAGAAAGTTACCGCCTACTCATTTTGTAATTGGGTTCCTGGATCGATGATTGGGTGTCTTCAGCTTGCTTGTCACGTGCATTGGCACCTGGGTAGGTTTTGGTCTGAAGCTCTTGAACGGTATGTATCATTAATCAATTATGGGGTCTAAGCATATCCACTAAGCTTATAAGAAGCTACTGTGTGATGTTGAATTCAAATGAATGATCGCCTTGCCCGATCGGCACAGCCTTAGCGTCATTGTCATACAGCGTTCTTTCAAAATATCGGACCCGCCCATCCGGTCGTGCCAGCAGAATAGTCTGTTTCTGTGTCCCATATGATCCACAAGTATAACTCTGGTCAGGAGGTCCGTTTGTTGGGGTGTTGGTCTCATCCTCTACCCGAGCTGCAGCGATTTTCTCTGCCGCTTGATCAGGATCATTTGAAGCACCGATGATAGGAACGAAAATAGTCTTGTGCAGATGATGGATGTACGTCTCAATTGTGGCCTCCTCCTCTGACAGTCGTGGCAGACTATCAGTGCTGAGAACCTGCAGCAGACGATCAACCAATGCATCCTCGTCCTCCCCGTCTCCCTTTTGCACATGCTCGGCAATAGCAGCCTCCATCAACTGCTCTCCATCAATAATCTTTGGCCAGGTTCTGTCATCAAAGCTTGTGTTGCTAAGCCCTCGCGTCTGGTTCTTCTCCGTTGCCACCCAGGTGATCTGGTCCATGTCTGTGGAACGGTTGGAGACAATGGCCAAGGGCTCGTTGATATGTCCACACACTAGACTGAACCCACCCACCTGCTTTGCTTCTGGGCTGGCCACGATGCCTTGTACAAACTCCCTGGTATCCTCTCGCTTGTCGATGGACCCGATCAACCAACTGTTGACGATGACGCCCCGGCTGTAGACTCCGATGGCTGCGCCGGTCGTGTCTTCACGGTAGTTGGTAAGAACTGCCACCTTCCCATGCTTAGTGACCCCCATCCAAGTGCCATGTGTAGATCGGGCTAGGTCTCGTGAGCCTAGGACATGTGAGGCTGGCTCCGGCCACCAGTCTGGCGATGATGTGGGACGATGGAGGAATTCCTAGATATATGTTAAGCTTGGAATTCCACTGCTCAGCGTGGGGATATACTTACATCTCTGTTGTTGATTATGATCAACGAGTATTCGGGGTGGGCAGTTGAGATCAATGCGATACACATGGTTTGAGTTCCCGAGGTCCCCCGGGGTAGTTGAACGTGCGGGGGAATAACAATGCAGGATTCACGACTTTAACAGCGGTGTATATAAGATAGAGTAGAAGTAAGGACTAGGGAAAAAGGAAATGCTGGAAGAGAAAGAGGAACGGGCCATAATAGGTAGAAAGGAACTAGTTAAGGCATGTCGGGTGATTGGGCCACTCGTTAGCGACGTGTGCCTTGTCGGGCTTGTATCTCCTGTACCATATTCAAGATAATAACATGAATTTTTTAAGAAAATAGCTGAAGTATATCAAGATATACATCCAAGCTATACTACACTGTCTTCAACGCACATGAATGACTGAATCATTAACAATGCAAAGCAAAAAAGTGCCTCGTGACGTCAACACACATTGATTCTTTGCGCAGAGGGGAAATGTAAGTAGTCACATCTCTTAGGGGAGTTATCGGGAAGTGATTTAGGTGTGCTCTTTCTATTTTTACAGATTTCTACTATTTGATTTCTTTTTTTTTAATCATCACATACCCCTGAACTATCTTTGTTGCCTTGTTCTCCTCTTTTTTTTTGGTCCAACTGCGGTGTTCGTCTCAGATCAGCGGGGCTGACTGGAAGACTAAAAATCCCCCAAGGATTTTCTTTTTTTCACATCTTCAATCCACCCAGGCTTCATCATGTTTGGAATCTTTGCGGACTTGTTGTCGTAGGTTTAAATCATATATACCTTCGAAAGAAGGGGTCCGCAAGCTAACGCAGATCTATTTCTATAGCTCGGTTATCACGATCCTCTTCCCCGTCTTCGCTTCCTACAAAGCTCTTCGTTCCTCTGACCCCTCACAACTTGCACCATGGCTGATGTACTGGGTCGTACTTTCAGTCATTCTGCTGGCTGAATCCTGGACGGTGTTTATCATCGGATGGTATAATTCAACTAGCTCCGTTTTAACAGGATCACAAGCTAATCGTGACTCGATAATTATCCAGGTTCCCATTCTACAGCTGGCTCCGCCTCGGTTTCATGGCTTATCTCGTCCTCCCCCAGACGCAAGGGGCTCGTATACTGTACCAAGACTATGTGGACCCATTCTTGACACACCATGAGCGGGAGATCGAAGAGATGATCGGCCACACTCATGAGCGGGCCAAGGCACTGGGCCTTCAATACTTCTACCAAGCCATCGATTTGATCCGGCAGAAAGTTTTGGGTCTACCCCCGCAGCGCCCCTCGACACCCCCTCAGCCTGGTGCCGCTTCCTACGCCCAGTCGCTACTATCGCGGTTCAACATCCCCGTTGCCGGAGCTGCCGGTGCTGCCGGGGCGCCTGCCAACACAAATGATTGGTTTTCTGTTCTCAGTGCCGCCGTGGGCACGGCTACATCTGGAAAGACTCGGGAAGTGCGGGACGAGGAGCTTTCAGCTAGTGGCAATCTCCTCCAGCGCCAGATGCAGTCTATGTCTGGAGCCGAGAAGGCTCACTTTATTTCCTCGCAGCGAGAGCTGCTAGATCACCTCCGATCAACCCTAGCACAAGAAGAGCAGAGCACCCCTCGCGGTGGACTCGAAGCTGATGACCTTGCCTATGGTGTGCCGTTGCGCAAGAATCGCAGCGAAAACTCCTTCGAGGTGGTTGACGATGAGGATCTAGGACGTCGCTCGGAACGAAAGACTAGTAGTGGATGGACATCTGGTTGGTTCAATAGCGGGCAAGATTCCTCGGCCTCATCTGGTGCTGAATTCGCGGCGCGAGCTGTCGATGAGATCGCCCGGTCGCGCGCAAGCGGGCACGACCGATCCTAAGTCTGTCCGCGGAGATGTTCCGCTTTTAACATGGGGGGTTTATAGTAGAACAAGAAAAACCAAAATAGAACTTGAATGCTTTGCTCTTGCTAGGTGAGAGATAGGGATGGGAGACATGCTGTATTTGCATGGAGGAGAATTTTTCTTTTCTTTTCTTTTCTTTTTTTTTTTGCGTTGCTAAATAACACTTAAATCGAACTCGAACTGAATGTTAGTTCAAATATCACTGAGAACAACCGAGGATGTCAAGCCGAATCCCTCCGGTCGGAGGAATAGCCTTGCATAAAAGAGTTCACGCAGATGCACTGCAAGGACGGGGGATATGGGGAAATATTTGATATCCCTGTGCCTTGACTATTATTGAGGATTATTGAGTTAGGGGTGCATTTAGATGATAAGGAGATATAGGATATAGCATGTATACAGTGTACTTCGCTAGATACTCTAGCTAAGTACATATGTACCTTATAAGTATCTGGTATAGATATAGATATAGATGTAGATGTAGATGTAGATGTAGATAGTATGGGGTCATAAGTGGCAAATGGGGAAAATGGGGCATTTGGATGGTCTATCCGGTTCCAGATGAATAAAGAATAGAGTCAATAACTACAAGTAGAGTCATATAATATTATCCAACCGGTTAGAGCTCACATTATGACTAGTTATATAAGTTAGTCTACTAGTTAACTAGTTACATATATATGTACATAGCAAAGTAGATTCTTTGTACCGGGTGGCGTTGTAGACCATCACTCTCAACCTTCCCATTCTATTTTACTCTCACTTGTCTTTCTGAAATTTCATTGACTTCATTGTTTTTAGAGATTCTCGAGAGAATCTATCCTATAAAAACACATTAATCACATTCAAAGGTACGTTGGTCGACGGTACAACTCTCTCTCTCGTTCTGCCCTTTCGTTTTCCACAAACCCGAATATTTTTTTTCCCTGGAATTTTTTCCTCCCACCATCTTCTACCGTTTAAATCAACCCTTTTAAAACATAACACTGTCGACCAAAACGCCGCTCTTGCTGCGTACCTGGTCTTCTGTGTATTTCGGAAACTCGTTTTCCCTTTTTCTTAATCAAGTTTCATCCCTTTGACAACCTGCAGTTAGGTTTGGATGTGGCCTTGTTACGCCTCCGCGTACTGACATCACCTTCGTCTTTTTTTCTCGAACTTTCCTCCCTCTTCGCGCGTTTAGACGTACAACCTGTCTAATGAGCTCGAACCCTCCTCAGTCGGGCAACCAAGGACAAAGCACCGCTACTCCCGCCGCTTCGACCCAGCCCGCATCCTCTACCCCCCTGGCTGCCACCCAGGCGCCAGCCCGATCTTACGCCAACGCAACTAAGAAGTCCGCGACGGACTCTACCGCCGCACCCGTCACCGTGGGCGGTTCAGCGCAACATGGGCAGTCGAGCTCCGTATCTGTGAACGGCAAACCCATGCAAAATCAATCTCAGCAGTCGGCCTCTTCTGGCGTGACCATTGTCAATGGAGCCCCCACTGCTTCGGCTGCTCCCTCCGGCGATCACTCTCGCAAGCCATCTGTGACCATCACCTCGAGCGGTACCTCCGGCTACATGCCCAACGGTGGTGGCCCGGCCAGTCGGCCCAACAGTCTTCAGTTCGGTTTCCAGCAGAGTTCTCCCAACATGGGTGCTCCCGCTGTGCCTGTCTCCAACCAGGCCCAGGCTGGACTTGGTGCCCCTTCGACAAACCCCCGGGTGACTTCTCCTCAGACTTCTCCTTCGCCTATTCCCCAGCCCGCCTCCAGCGGCGGTCGCCCACCTCCATCGACTTACCAGGCGCAAGGAAATGTACCGAACTTCGGTAGCTTTGGAGAATCTGCCGATGCTAACGTAAGTCTCTTGAATCCCTCCCTCCCTTGCGTGCTCTTTGTGCGCAAATGTGTATGGAGCGTGGCACCACTTGTGCGCGACTTTGCCAAGTCCTCATTGTTTTTTTGTTTTTTTTTTGTTGTTTTTTGCTCACATAGATGGGTTCGATTACACAGGCTTCTCTTGCACACGGTGCTCAGCATTTGCGTCGCGAGTCCTCCCAATCCACCCACAGCGATATGAGCAACCACATGGGCAGCGGCCCCGGACGTTCAAACTACCAGGGTGGTCGCGGTCGCGGATACTCCCAACCCGGCTACCAGGGACAACAAATGCCATACTCTCCTAACCCCGGTTTCCGTCAGACCCCCAACCAGCCGCGAGGCGGTCCTAACATGGGTCCCCAGTTTCACGGCTCGAACCAGGGTCGTCCTTTGGCTCCCTACCCTAACTCGCCTCACCAAGCCAACCGCAGCCCTGCCCTGGCCAACGTTAACCCCACCACTCCTCAGATGAACCAGGTTCCGATGGCACACCCCCAGATGCCTCAGCAACCCTACGGTTACGGTCAACACATGGGCCCTCAAGCTGTGAGATCCCCCCCTTCTCGTACTTCCCAGAATCCCTGGCGTCGTCCCCAAAGAAACCTTACCAGCACTTGGAGGCGCAAAGACAACCCTACATACTCTCCCGAGTACCCCGTGGATCTTGCGCCTGAAAGTGGCCAGTTCGAACAGATTCTAACAATGGTTAAATTCCAACAGTCATTCCCCAACGCCTACGATCCCAACTACGCTGGTTATTACAACCCGAACGCTGGTTACTACATGGGCCCGCCGTCTCCCCAGCCTCGTACTGCTGGCATGCCCTACAACCCTCAGTACATGGGACAGCAATTCCCTAACCCCATGCCTCAGGCGACACCACTTTCACGTACTCCCTCCCAGGTATCTACTGATCGTCCAGGTTCGAGCCTCGGCCAAGGACCGGCACCCACTGGTCCTGCTGTTCCTGGCCACACCCACTCTGGCAGCCGCGCATCCAACAGCCCCGCCCCCAAGCCTCACTTTATCATCCCCTCAGCCAAGAAGAGTCCAATCATCATCAAGGACCCTAACAGCGGCTCAGTCAAGACCTTCGAAAAGAACCCCGCATCCCCCTGCTCGCGCCTCCCCTTCGCCCGTCAAGTTTACTCCTCCTCCTACATCCACTCCTCCACCTCGCACTGCCAGCGCGTCTGAGCACACTCGTACCGAGAGCAAGGCGAATGCCACGAAGACCGACGAGGAGAAGAAGCAGGAACTGAAGGATGCTGTTCGCCTGAAGATCCAGCAGGATGAGGCTGCTCAGAAGCAGCGTCTGGCCGATGAGGCCTCTCGCACTGAAGCCACGTCGACCGATGCCAAGAAGGATGATACTGAGTCTGTCCGGGCTGCCGTTGAAGATCTTAGTATCAAGGATAAGGCCGCTCCCGTCGAGGAGCCCAAGAAGGTGGTTGCTGCCGAAGAATTGAAAGAGGTTGCTGCCCCTGCTGAAGAGCCCAAGAAGGCTGCTGCCCCCGCCCCCGCCCCCGCCCCCGCAGATGACGATGAGATCGACTTTGATGCTATCGAGCGTGAAATGGCCGAGATTGAAGCCAAGGAGCGCGCCGCCGAGGAAGACTACAACCGCGCCAAGCAAGCTAAGAAGGAAGAAGCTGCACGCAAGGAGCGCGAGGAACTTGAGAACTACGAGGCCAACATGAAGAAGGCCGAGGCTGAGGCCGAGGCCCGCGAGATTGCCCGCGAGAACGCCGCTCGTGCCGGAGGCAGCGACGCCACCCAGGACGACAACAAGGATGCGTTTGCCGCGCTCAAGAAGGGTGGCTATGGTGCCACCGAGTCTTCCACCCCTGGCGACAGCGGTGCTGCTACTCCTGTTTCATCTGACATGGGCCCACCAGCCAAGCCTGCCAGCGCCATTCCCAAGAAGCCCGCTGGCCTCAAGCTCGATACCCCCAAGCCCACCGAGCCCCTGCAAGCAACCGCAGGCATGAAGTCTTTGCAGAATGCCAAGTTCTTGGAAGACCTCAGCAAGGTCACTTACCCATCGACCATCACTCCTCCCAGTACAGAGATGAACGCTGCTGCGCCCGAAGGTCGCAAGTTCCACTACGACCGGGACTTCCTGCTACAGTTCCAGGCCGCATTCAAGGACAAGATCTCTGTCGACTGGGACCTCCGTCTGCGGGACACAGTTGGTGATGCCACCGACTCTTCCCGTCCCCAGTCTGCCCGCACTCCTAGCATGGGTAGCCGTGCTGGCTCTCGCAGCGGCACCATGGGTCCGGGAGGACCTTTCCCCGCCATGGGCAGCTTCAACAGACCTGGTCAGATGCCCCCTATGGGCAGCGGAGCGATGGGCAGCCGCAATGCTTCCTTCCAATTCGGACGGGGCGGCCCTGGTGGCATGGGTCCTATTGGCAATATTCGCCAAAACTCTGCCGGTGTTCCTCCTCGTGGCAGCTCGAGCAAGGGCCCCCGTACCGACAGCCGACAGAAGAAGCACGGTGGCCGAGGAGGGGACGAGGCGCAAAACAAGTCGATGCCTCTTACTGCTGGCATGGATCTGAAGGCAATTCAAACCACTGCAACTGGCTGGAAGCCTCGCAGCGTTGGCCAAGGTGCTGGTCCCGCCCCTGGTGGTGATGGCGGCTATTTGGCACCGGATGTCGTGCAGCGCAAGGTCAAGGCTGCTCTCAACAAGATGACACCGGAGAACTTCGACCGTATCTCCGGTCAGATCCTCGCGATTGTCTCCCAGTCCAAGGACGAGTCCGACGGTCGTACTCTGCGCCAGGTCATCCAACTCACATTCGAGAAGGCTACTGATGAGGCTCACTGGGCCCCTATGTACGCCAAGTTCTGTAAGAGCATGCTGGAGAGCATGAGCCCAGAGATTAAGGATGAGAACATTCGTGACCGAAATGGCACCGTTGTTGCTGGTGGAAGTCTGTTCCGGAAGTACCTGCTCAACCGCTGTCAAGAAGAGTTCGAGCGTGGCTGGAAGACTAACCTGCCTGATAAGCCCGAGGGCACTACTGAAGAGGTATGTCGATCAGCGGCTAAACGTTTTCATGTCCCTGTACTAATAATCTGTCACAGGTTGCAATGATGTCTGACGAATACTACATCGCTGCCGCCGCTAAGCGTCGTGGTCTTGGTCTCGTCAAGTTCATTGGTGAACTGTACAAGCTCGGCATGCTTACAGAGCGTATCATGCACGAGTGTGTTAAGAAGCTTGTGGACTACGAGGGTATCCCCGATGAAGCCGAGGTCGAGAGTTTGACCAGTCTGCTGCGCACCATCGGTGCCAGTCTCGATGCCTCTGAGAAGGGACCTGCCATGATGGACGCCTACTTTGCTCGCATCCACCTGATGGTTGAGACACCCAACCTGCCCAGCCGTCTCCGTTTCATGCTTCTGGTAAGTTTCTCCCTCTTTCTCTGTGAGGTGGGAAGAAAGAAAGGAAAGAAAAAAAATACTAACACGGTTTTCAGGATATTATCGATCTGCGTGCCGCACGCTGGAACTCCAAGGATGCCGATAAGGGTCCTCAGACCATCGTTGAGATTCGCGAGGCTGTAAGTAACCTTCGTTTCTGTCATTCATTATGTCTCGTATCTAACCCTTGAAACAGGCTGCCCGTGCCGCGCAAGCCGCTGAAGCCGAGCGCCAGCGCCAGTCCAGCAACCGCGGAGGCGGTGGCCGCATCCCCATGGGTCGCGGTGATGCCCGCGGCTTCGGATACGGAAACCAGGCCCCTCCCCCCCGATTACGCCTCTAGCAAGGTTGGCAGTGACGATCTCCGCCGCCTGCGTGCGACTCGCAACACCAACCAGCCCATGTCATTCGGTCCTTCCAGCCTTCTCGGCTCGCGCACCAATAGCGGTCGCAAGAACCTCGGTCCCGGTGGCAGCCTAGTCCGTGGAAGCGACGACAGCGCCTCCAGCAGCCGCACCGGCACTCCTACCGGCAGCAAAAAGGAAGACAACTCTTCCATGAATGCTTTCAGGTACGCAACTCCCAACGCTTTCCTCCTACAGAACCTCCCATGCTAATACCCTCCCCAGCGCGCTTGCTGCCCTTGAAGATCGGGATAACATGGCTACCTCGCCACCGTCAAACCCCACTTCCCCGATGCTCACCAAGTCGCAGCCCGCGGCCGCGGAGCGTCGTCCCTCAAAAACCCCATCTGTCAAGGACGGCGAATCCACAGCATAGAAAGTCCTTAGGAGTTAATGATCAACGTTTTCCATTTTCTTGGTTCACAAAAAGATTTCTTCATTTTCGTCATTTTCCATTGTTTTTTCCCCGTGAGGAAAGCCATGCGCCTTTGTTTTTAATCGGTCTCAGTCCTTTGCATTTTCCGACTGGTCGGTTATCCCCTAGGACTTCCCCTTTTTTCACTTTATCACGGCTGGTTTTACTTTTTCGAACCTTTCGAAAACGAGACCCGATTCATAGTGTACAATCTTGACATCTTTTCAATTCTTATATTTCTTTTTTCCTTTCTTCTCTTTTCATCGAATTGAGAGAATGAGTGTGGAGTCGTGGTTGAGAGTAAGACTTTGCTTGCAATTGGACTTGCTGCATCATCTTTTTTTTCATTCTTGTCTTCCATCTTGCCATATGCACATCTAGTAGGGGGTTTTACTGTGGATGGAAACTGACAAGGAGAGATTGATTATGAGGGTGATGAAGGGGGTTGCTGTTTCTTTTGCTCTTTGCTTTTCTTTCTCCCTTCTCGTGCTTTGCATATTGTCCCCTTTCCCCTTTTCCCTCTTGCTATTGCTCTTCTCCTGTTCCTTGACCTTGTCCTCTTTTTTTCTCAATACCCGAAGCACCACTCAGCTTTAACGTGATTGAATAAATGCTTCGCCTTCCAGCTACTTCTAATCTCTTCCTTGCCTGGTAAGAGATTAGCTCGTCTTGGACATTATATAGATCTATGTATATGTACTTAAGCCTGACTATGGACTTATTATAGCATGGACCAGTATCCATAGGTATACTATGATAGGAATAGCGACTACGAGTAAACAGATAGTTACGAGAGATCTGCACATATGTGGGAGCTTAAGCAATCAATGTCTATGGATTAATTCGACGGGTTCTCGCTGTAGACACAGGAGGAGAGATAAATGCACATGGCCAAAACATGTGAAACGTTTAACCAGGTCAGGACACATCAGAAGAAAATAAGCGATCAGGGTATTGAGTTGGGGTATAACTGTCAGTCCCGTCGCGAGCCGACGTAATTTCTGGCGTTCATTCTGTTCGATAGAGAGAGGCTAGAAGCAATATGAGGGGGTGAAATCGGACGATTGGTTCGTATGGATCGTGAGTATGCGAGAAAGCGCGCGATAGTGTAATGTATGGCGCAACACGAGCGAAATGGGCATGAAGAGTGGTTGCGGGCAAGGCAAGCCATGGTTTCAGGTTTCGGATTCCTTCGTGTTGTCATTTTTATCATTGTTATCTGACACTTCAATCAATGGGATAGACACGGGATTCGTGGTTGAATCGGAAGGCTCGTTGGCCTCATCTAGTTTTTCAATCTCTGTAGAGGAGACGTCGGATATGGGAGGCTCGGGTTGGTCAGGCAGAGAAGGCGAGGCCGTAGTCCTGTCCGGCGAAGGAGATGTCTGACCACCATTGCCGGTAACGACACTCTCCTGAGAGCTATCTGCTGGACTTTCGACGCCCGGACTTGCCATAATCACTGCATCCAGTGAGTTCCGAATGGGGTAGGTCGAGTCAGAGTCATCGTGGCTAATGCTAATGCTACTACGGTCTGAGACCGACAGAGAACTGCGCGAGGCCGCATTCGAGTATGATGCGGGGAGTCCGAGTGCCTCCGCTACTGCAGCCTCTTCGTCAGGCAACTTCGAAGTGCTGCTATCGTTGCTGGCGCTGGCACCGAATATCTGACTGCCGCGCTGCTCGCTCATTTCCAGGATATGGTTGTAGCTGCGCCGTGTTGGGTCTGCACGGCGCTTTTTTTTTTTCTTTTCGCGTTTCGGTGAAGGCCGAACGACAATCACCGGGATGGGTGATTGCTGGAGGCAGTATTTGGAGACGGATCCTGGGAGCAGACTGTGCACTCCTTTCAGGTTGCGCCCTCGTGTACCGACTACAAGCATTGCAGGCTCGTATATGCGAATCTAGGAGATATTAGATTGGTAGTAGGTAGTGAAGGGGTTCTTGGAAAGGTTACCATGCGTTGGATGATGCTCTCAACCTTACCCACAGCAAGTTCCAGGACCAAGCTGATGGCCTTTTCATCCTGGCTGTTCTTCTGGATTACCTGCTCAAATAGCTTTTCTGCCTCCTCGCGGTACTTTCGCTCTTCGATTCCGACATCGCTGGCTATACGCGAGTCCTTCTCCACCGCTCGAAGACAGACGATCTCGTCCCCGTCATCCACCAGCTCGTCAATCAGCCATTCGAGGGCAAACTCGGAGTAGTCGTTCTGGTCGGTTCCGCACAAAAAGGTCCTGCTCCGACGTGTGCTCTGGTAGCCTTTGTGTTTATAGTTTAATGTGAGGGAGAAATCGGTAGCATCGAAGTTGTCGAATGTGTCGAAAGAGACGCCTCGCTCGTAGGTTCTGCCGTATATATTAGTACACACCGTTTCACACACAGTCTTTGAGCAGAACATACTTCGGCGGTGGTGGAGACGGCCCTCGGTTCAATTGGGCAGCTTTGTGTTCCCGTTCCTTTTCTTCCAATAATTCCCTCGTCGGGGTATCCCCATATGACAGCCGCTTTTCCTTAAAGCTCGACGAGCGAGTGGGCAACTGAGCCTCTGCAGCGTCGACGCTAAACTGAATCGATCTCCGTTGGCTTCTGGGCTTAACCTCGCCAGAAAAGCTGCGGGTGTGGCCGGACCCCGCAGCTGGGGTCGTATGATCACTGGATTCGGGTCGCCCTGCAGACTCGGATGAGCGTCTGGGAGAAGTTGACACAGGCATTAAGAGGTTTATTTTCGGTGATGATGAAAATGAACAGGGGTATAATGGGTCTGTTGGTTTTCGTTGGCTGTGTGTTGACGTAAATGACAGGAGTTAATAGCACGTATCAGCGGCCACGGGGTTGTTGAGGGTTCCACAGGACCAAGCGGGGTTGTGGTATCATGTTTTGAGAGAGTCTCTTCAATAAAAACTAGGAAGATTAATGGTCACGAGTCATCTTGCTCAAGCTGGAGAGTGACGGATGCAGCGAGGGGTCAGGACGGTTGGCCAGGGCGATCACTTATCGATAGCGGCTCGGGAGCTTAGCCAGTATTATGTAATATCAGCAGGGGTCCACGGGTCTGGTGATTGACACAACCCTACGAAGTATACTACATAATATAATTGAAGCTTCATTTGGGTTAAGTAGTGCACACGAGGAAGAAACTGTTAAAATGAATGGAATTTCCATATGAAGTCTTAATTTGGGTACTGCGCTCAGATGGGAATACGAAGAAATAACTCTACCTTTCCACTTGTATGGATATATATGTTGTGTCTATATTTTAAGCACAAAATGGGAAAATTCGCCAGACTGAAGTTTAGCATGTAGCTTCTATCCAAATATAATTATAATACTAGCCCAGCATTCGAGAAGAGTCCGAACTATGATACAAGGTATCTAGGTATCTCCTGGCAAGAGAAAAAACCACAGCCTACTAATAGTGGGATATGAGGAATACCAAGTCAATATTATATATTGTACTCCGTATAGCATCAATATTTGAAGCCATAGGGCGGATTACGGAACAATAAAATGTGACATACAAATTAGCATATGGCGACATATGTACTCCGTACTAAGCCACAATAAAAGGACCCACGTAGGTTATGATGTTTATGCATATAACATGACTAAGTTCATATATTCTATCTGAGGGTTTGAGTACTCCGACGAGTAAAATGTTAGATAGGGGGAAATGATACCCAGATAGGGGAAGATCTATTGCAATAAACCAACAAGAGTCCAAGACTGCCCAACGAACAGCATACCCAAAACGCTTCTGCCCCCAGCCTCAAGATTTTCGCTCACTAGCCCAATATACTAGCCCAATATGGATCCCGCCATGCCTTACTTCTAACAAAGCCAAGGTATCCATTCGAAGGGAAAAAGAAGCGAAGGAAAAAACCCCCCCCCCTTCCTTAACCCACTCCGCGGAGTGCCCGGACACCTAAATAATGAACTAGTAAAACCCTTCAGCTGACTATCGTCGCGTAGAGGCGCCCTATGCCGACCTAACCGTGATGATCACACACTATCTACCCTTGGCTCTGATCTATCTAGCTTATCCGGCGGTGAAGATCATGGCGTGTTGGCGTGTTGAACTTCCATTTGGCTGGGAACAGGGGATTCTGCGCGCACGGTCCCGCTGATCGACGAGGTCACATGCGCGATTCTGCCGATTTGAATGACACTATTTACTGGACTATTTTGTATGGAGTACTTTGTACGGAGTAGATGGAAGATTGAGGATTTAGAATTTTTATTGGATTGTTTTGTGTTTTTTCTGTGGGGGAATCACAATGTCTTCCCCGTATTTCAACGCTCCAATGCAGAGTCTCGACCTTTGGTAGGGAGAGCTGAATGTTGGGCCGCTATCACAGATAGCAAGAGATGAGTGGAATATGTAATAAGATGTCCATATGACATTGGAGGAAAAATGGAATGTCCAAAATGACAATTCGCCAAATGCGACCGAACCAAAAACAAACGCCAGAAAATAGAAGATGAGAGATGGTAAATATAAGCTCGCTCCAAAAACATCGTCATAAAAGCATCAGGGTATCACGGCATGTATCGCTGGATTATGGAACACAAGGCAGAGAGAGGGGTAGAGAGTATAGTCGGGATTGTAAAGTGGGAGTGATCGAGCTTAATCAATAAGCCTCGATCAGGGTCTGCTCTTGTGTACCAAAATACCCTTGCTCAAAGAGATGGGGTTGATCAGAGCCTGCCAAGGCGATAGCCGTAGTAGCAGGCTCCTTTTCATCGAATGCCTCCAGCGGAGGCTGGGGCGGGGAGGGCGGTGTCGCCTCGTCCTCAGACTCTCCATCCGAGTCAGCCAGAAGCTCAGGCGGCGACTGTCGTGAGGGTGAGCGAGTCAAGGTCAGCTCGTTATCCTCCGCATCATCGTATTCGAAGTCTGAATCTGTGTCGTCGCCTTCGTCATCCTCATCCAGAAGGTCCTCTTGGAAGTGAGCCACCGGTGATGGGGAGCGACGGCGGACGGGAGGTGTGTTGATAACAAATTCAGACTCATCGTAGTCGGAGTCGTCGCTGTCGCTGAGTTCGGAGTCCAGATCGGATGCATCCTCCGGGTCCCAGTCTTCCTCGGGCTCTTCGACCACTGTCGAAGCCCATTGAATGTGTTGGCGGGAGGAAGAGGAAGAAGAAGAAGCCTTGGTGGCTCCGCTGACGGTCTGGTTGAACCAGCGTTCTTGTTCACGTTCAGCATCGGCTAGGTCGTACATCAGCGAGTCGAGGAGGTTTGCGTGGCCAACAAGCAAGCGCAGGTCGTGGTCTGCCCGGGAAGCTTCATGAGTGAGCTTCTTCCGGGCAGTGTGGGCGAGATAGTATGTTTGAGTGATGCTCATTTTCTTTTGTTGGCGGCGACGAAGGAGAGAGTCGAAATAGGGGGAGGGTTTGGAGGTATTAGAGGTAATAGATGAAGAGTCCATGGTGGGCCAGACGAGCTTTTGAAGGATTATTGGGTATGACTCTTTGGTGGTGACTCAATTAGGCGTCATCCAGTCACAGTGGATCGTCGTGGGGCGGTGCGGTAGAAGGGATAAGGGAGTAGATCAACTTTGTTATACATGAAAGTATACTATGATAGATCAGGTTTCTCTTCCAGGGGGACAAGATCGATAGTGTAACAGGTTTAAGAAGTAGATCTTAAGATATCAGAAACAATCTTGGGATTCCCGGACGAGAGGTTTATATTTAATCTGACAAGGCAACGTTTTTTTCTTTCTTTTTTTTTCTTTTGATTTTTAATTATTTTTAATTTTTAATCCGATCGACCCGAAACGGACTTTACGGATGATGAGAAGATCCACCGGAAATAAATGGAGAAAGGGTATATACGCCGAGCCCCGAGTTATGAATAATGCACTGTTCTCTTCCAAGGTTCCCCATTTCTAGATCTTCACCGCTAGGTTACACATTGCGTTTAGATACTTAAAACTACATATGTACTTACTTACAATATGAGAAGTACATATGTTCTCCGTATTCTTTTCTAACTTCAGTCCAATTTTTAAGATAATGCAGTGAGTCACTTTGAATGCTCTCGGATGACCAATCCGCCGTGCCGTGGTCCGCACCGGAGGATAAAAAACCGATCGGAGTATCGGTCGCACCTTTTGCCGTTTATTTTATTATTTTATTTTCTTAATTCCTAATCCCTAATTCCATTAACTATTTCCTTTTCCTGATCAGTTTGATTACTGATACAATTTGTTTTTCATTTTTTTTTTAAGTTCCCATCAAACCTTGGAATTCAGATTTGGATTACATAGCAGTTCGATTTCCAATCACAGGATGCCAAATCACATCATCTTCTATAACCTTAGATATAGAATATCCCCATAGCTGACAATTGTCGTAGCTGATAATTGCTTTGACCTGTCGACGTGTCGAGGTCCAATGAGTTGGCATGTCAGCATGGAGGCTCTTGGAACATTAAACCTTGGGAAGCCAAGCCACCTTGCTCCGTATGCGTATTCTGTATTATGCAACACTACCCCTCGCCTGTACTCTGTCTCCCTAGATAAGTACGACCAGCACCCAGTCTTGGCAGCATCGACTAGCATTCCCCAGGAATTCAAGGTTAACCAGGAATCCATGCATGAGTAGGCTGTGTGGTGGAGAATGCCCAAGAAGGTACTAGCTATTGACATGCACGGATCCTTAGGAGGCCATAAGGCAGCATAATTCAAACACCACTGGATGAGACCGCTATAGCCCATAAAGATCTTGCTCATCGCGCAGTTCTACAGCGTTGCCTACAGACGTACGATTTACGTTGTACCTTGTACATTCCACATGTGAACACACGATGGGGCATTGGCGGATCTTATTGGCCCCCACATGGAATCTGCTCGAAACGGACTGACACTGCGCCCTGCAAGGAGGGGAGTTAGATTATGGTGTTTCTCGCTTCATGATACAGGTACAATGTACATTCCTTACTGCATACTGACCACGATAGCGTGTTTGACGTGTTTGGCGTACATCACGGACCTCAAACTTGCCAAGGCGAAGGTCCTGTTTTTCATGTCAGCCTTGGACTTCTCCAGGGCAACCTCCAGGGCTATCTTGGCGTATTATGTAAGACCATGCGGATATCGCCGAGTGTGCACGGGTGCGGCTTTAAGATGACCTAAGCACTTAAAAAATGCCCACCTGCGCAGATTGGTTCGCTCGCATGGCTTACCGCTTCGAAACAGTCAATCTCCACTTCATAGCCCTATGGCATACCCGAATACGAAGGTGTCTCGGCTTTTTCTTTTCTTTTCTTTTCTTTTCTTTTCTTTTTTTCCATGATGATTTAGGCTTTAGGCTTCTCTCAATATGATTCTAAAATGTAATCTGTCTTCTATCTTCTATCAATATTAGCAATATCGATCTAATACGAACATTGCCCAATTAAGAAATGATGAGATCAACAGGTAGATCCAGACACAGCCCAGAACAATTGGATTCAGGGTCTTTGTCGTGGGGAGGCGGAGTTAGTAATTGTCGGCCGACGCCACGGCTGGTTGTCAACCGCTTTAATCAACGCCCAGTAATCAACATCGGGTGTTCGCTGCTAAATTTCCCGAGATCCACTATGCTTGAATATGACATCAGGACTTTTCCATCGGCCATTGTTATGCGTTACCGTTGGCCGAGAGATGGATCTATGAATGCCTAGATGTGGATTACAAAATACTCAGTAAGTGGAATCCAAGGCCCCGGTAGTCCCAGTTGCCTTATCAGGGCGAGATAATGTGAACAACATACTTTGTACGGAGTACTGTACGATGAGCTGAGATTGAGGGAGACGGGGATACGGAGCAGACGATAATCAATTATTTGCTAATCATTCGCCCGAAATAGGCGACCGTGCTGTATGTTGAGGCTGATAATGATCAATACATAGCATAGCCTATGCGATTTATTTTACACTAATCAGCAACACAAATTACCACATCTAACGACATTCGAATCCCTATTTCATACCTACCTAGGTAAGTAGCTCGTAACCCCTGATTCCTCCGGTCCTTGGCGTTAAAACAACTCCGTCTCCGAGCTCCGTATCCGTGCGGATCGTGCACACTTTATGCTATGGGCTATGGTATGCATTTCCCAATTCACGTTAGACTTGTTGGATCACTCACGGATGATCGACACGTGAAAGAAAAAAAAAAAAAAAAAAAAAACCGAAACGTGACTCGATCTCGGGACTTCGTTGCCGGTACCCGGAACTTATCGTCGTCGTCCGCCAGATCGAGTTTAGTTGCGGGTTGGTGGCTATGCGACACATGTCTACGGGGCTGGTCGGATGAAACCATCCGTGTAGGTTCCCGATTACTCACTTTGATGCTCCATAGTTCCTCGTGACTCATGATTATTCCGGCCTTTTTTTTTCGAGTTGCGGGGAGCTGCGCCGACGGAGATTTGTTAAGATCTATTCAAATTGAGCTGTCCACTCATAAAATATCAATAAAGTTACAATGTCGCACTGCATATCTGCATATCTGCATATTTCTGTCAGATGATACATAGTAATAGTGAAGGTATAGGGCGGTCAAGCGGGTCGATGTACGCGAAGTTACGGGCCCCCGGGTGGAAAGGCACCCCTGTTCCTGGTCTCGAAAGCTGTCATTTCCGACGTTGATGTCACAGATCCTCAGATCCTCATCCAGTATTGTTGATATTTTTCTCGAAGAGCCCCTAACTGATGTTGCCTGCGCCACAACTGATATGGTCATCGACGAACCCTTGGATTAGGAGTTCTCTGTAGGGTCTATTTCAGTAGTCGATTTCTCTGTTGATGGTTTATAATAGACTTATTTTCCAGTTTCTAATCCATTCGAGCTTGATTGAGAGTAGCTGCCGGGACTATGAACCCGGGGTTATTTCGAGATAAGATCAGCCGGGCAATCTCTATACCCACCACGTGGCAGCACCGATGACGCGATTCGTTACAAATAGGTGTAGTGGCTCATTGGGGAAAACGTTAGTAGTATTTTACGAAGATCATAAAGCATTTACTTTAATTCTAGCATTCGAGTAATTACTAGTACGTATATTTTCCCGTAACGAAAAGGCCATGGCGGCTTCAAGGTATATATTCAAGTCAAATGTTTAAGATTCCACAAATGCTAGAGGGCCTTGCATTTGCAATTTCTAGCGTCGGTCTAGGAACAGGGCGTAAAACTCCCGTGACCTATATCACCAAGATGCCGCAGAGGTACCGCTGGTATGCCGAAGGGACCGTTGTGGCCGAGCGCCTTTTGCATCCCATCCTGTTACTAAGTTATGTCTTTGCGGAGGTCGTGAGCCTCTCACAGAATCTACTCATTATGGAAGGCGATATGAGTTGCCTTCCAAACGTGTTGTCTGGTTGATCCTTCCAGTAGTCGTATGCTTCTCTCAAGTATTGACCCATGCATGTCTCTCGGTATGAGCACTTTGCTCTGTGGAACTCTGAATAGTTTATGAACCAGTATTTTTTCGACGGTGGCCCACTACTGGAATTAAATACATGCAATACTGGAGACGATTTTGGAGTTTTGTTTTTATTCTACAAGCAGAGACGGTGTAGACCTGGACTTTGGAAGCGAGGAGGCTTTTAGCGGGTGGACCATGCGTGTTCGCAGTGGGTACCTAGGCAGCGATGCTGGGCTCTGCTAGATGTAGAAGAGTACCTTGAAAAATCCTTAGGCAAATTCACATTGGTCAAACGTTTCAGATCCGAGAAAAGAATGAAACAGTCACTACGGTACTCAATTCTTCTCCTTGGCAAGCCCCTCAAAAGGGCCTGATTATTGGCTTCTAGATATTATCTGACCCACAACGGCGTACGCTTCAGTGGTGCATATCTTCAGCTAGAAGGCAGCGTTACTTGACACGATTAAATATAGAACATGTCGTAATATCATTTATCAATTTATGGTGCATTCGGATTAATCTACATAACGCATGCTCAGCACCCGAAAGGCAAGCATATATTAGTCCCCGGTGTTGCTTTCTAGCTACTTCAAAGAAGATACCACTAGGTAACAGGAATTGCATCAACATCCATATTGTATGGGTATGATGGATTGTTCATAGAGCCCTGGAGGCCCTTCATCGCAGACTACGTAAAATGAAACCAATTCGTCCTCTCCGTCTTTGGACATGGTTCTGCGTTCCTTTTGTCTTGGGAGGGCTTCGTTAATTCTTGACTTCCTTTCCGTGAGAAAAAATCCTTGACATTGAATCTAATGATAAAAACAAAACGTTTGAAATCTATGGATACGGAGGCAGAATCGGTGCTCATATCAATACGGCATCCTTACCCTCCTACGTGCTCTCTAACGATGGCATCGTGTTAGCCCCTGCCCTCTTGGCCGTTTCGTGAGAAACCCAACGTCTTATGGCAGCACCAACATGCCTTGGAAGTAGACTCTTCATATGCTTTTCGGTGTCAGCGCGCTCGTCATGATTCGGTCTATATTCTGGTGGGTGATTGAATACTGGATGGGTAGTACGGGCTACCTGTTACAACACGAGTGGACCATGTATATTTTTTGACAGCGTTCCAATGATGCTTGTGATGACTATGTTCTACGTGTGGTACACCAAGCTCGAGTCTTGCTAGACAGCCAACAGGCACCCTTGGGTGACGGGAGTTTCTTGTCAACCGGGCGGAATGGAGAATATCATTCGCTACGTTAAGCTTGTTGAATTTACATTACACATGTAAACTACGATTCTGATTTCTGATGCAGTGAAGAAGTGCATTGGTTTGAAAGTTGGGTCTTATCTTCGTACCTCTAATATTGAAATATCACTATTTGAATTAGGTATTTACCGGCTATACAAAAATGATAGAGACCGTTTGTGCCTCATAGTTAGTGGTACCTAATAAATGATCTATAGATTTTAGCTCTGATTATTTCCAACATGCAGTACCCATATATGTAGTTCATCAGAACAAAGAACCAAGCAATCCCTGGCCTCTTTGTCCCCATGGAGACTCACTTGTCCATTGATATGTGGTAGAAACCAAGAAGCCACTTGATAGCGTCGCTAATCTATATCTAACCCTGCCGCATCATCTAGCACCGTCAACATGAATACAAACATCTACAGGCCACTAGCTCAAAAGAAAGATAATTGATTCATGCTCAATGAGCTACGTTCAGATTAACAAACGGCTGATGGTCAAGTGACACTCAAGACGCCCAGCTAACACCAGTCACCAGAGACTCCAGTAAAACACGTCCCTTCAAGATATCACACTTCATGCTGGGTATGGCCTGTAAAACAACTCATTGCCGAGGTGATCGAGAACAGTTACAGAATTGTCAGGATCCGACATGCGAAGATCAGCATAAGCGAGAGCACGATCAATAGTCATCTCAATGTTGTGCAGGTTGCGGACATAGCCATGGAGCCGGAGCTTGTGCAGAACAGACCTGATCCAGTTGACGCAGTTCTGAGGAGGATAAGCACACTTAATCGGCAGCTGAACAGACTGAAGGAGGATCTTGATAGTCTCCGGGCCGATTCCGTCGTTGACTTCACCGATTGCCATTCTGATGAGAAGAGAATCACACGACTCCGGGTGGACGTTGGTCTTGACGCGGTAGGTCCATTGGAAG